AATTACAATCTATTCTATTCTATGAATATTTTTATAAATTGATATGTTAGTTTTCACTTTTACAGATGGCCATTGAAGGCGACTCAATTGTTGCCCCTGCTAGTTGTGATTATATTTTTACGTGCCAAAATCAGTATTCTTTAATTTTCGATCTAATCGATTTTTACTTGGAAATATATTTTTATGTATTTTATATATTAACCAAGAAATATAACAGTATCAAGTTGCACCCAACAAAGCACTTAAACTCGGAATTTAGTGGTTATAGCGAATTATGATTTTAATTACATTGTAATTATAGTGAATTTTCAATTTGTTCCAGTGTTGTACAATACATGCTATATTGAAGTTGGATGTATTTTTCGCATTCGTAAAGTAACAACCTCTAGTCCTGGGTTGGTTTTGCTATATTTTCATGTGGTATCATAGATCTCAAATGTGATCTGAAATTAAAATAGCCTTTCGGGGGCATTGCTAAAACATACGCCCATAATTATTAGGTATATATATATATATATATATATATATATATATATATATATATTAGGGTGCTCCCTAATATGGACATTTTCGAAATTCTTTGCTCCTAGGGACTCAAATGCTTCCAAATTGATAAAAAAAATCCTCTATAAGTTTTAGCTCTTAATATTGTCTTTTAAATAGTGCGCAATTCAAATCAAATGCGCAAATGCGCAATCAAAGTTTTGTATGGAAATAGCATGGAAAATTTTTAAAAATTGTAAAAATATTTTTTAGATATAACAAATGAATGAGTTTTATTCAAAATTCGAATCTCTATAAAACAAATTATAAAAAACCTGTTTTGCAGAGCGTCAATTTTCAATAAAAGATAACACGAATTGTCACTTTTAATTCATTTGTCGCTAAGTTATACCTAAAAACATTTTTTTTAATTTTTGAATTTTTCCATGCTATTTCCATTTGAAGTTTTGATTGAATTGCGCACTATCTAAAAGTTAATATTAAGAGCTAAAACTTTTAGAGGTTTTTTTTATCAATTTGGAAGCATTTAAGCCCCCGGGAGCAATAAAATTCGAAAATGTTCATATTAAGGACCACCCTAATATATATAAATATATATATATATATATGTATATATATATATATACAGGTAACTCCGGCATAACACGGTACTTCTATAAAACGTATTCGCTCTAAAACGGTTTAAAAATTGAGGAAAGTTTTAATAAAATAAGAAATATAGTAAAACCTTTGAAAAGTAAACTTTATTTAATCTGAAATTATTAAAATCGTACAATAGCTCAATAAATGTGATGAAACTAGTGCAAAAGATAAAATTTGATATATATTTTATTAGAGCGCGAACGTTCTATCGAAAATAAATTCTAGGATTATCCGAACAATATATTAAATAATTCTTAAGCAATTCTTAAAAAAAATGAGCATAAAAGTTTAATAAAGATTACTTTACATGTGTTAAATATATAAATATCATTTTATTAAAATCAATGAATCGCTAATATAATTTTTTTTTGCAAAAAATAATGCACGGATCTGGAGTTAGTATAGAAAACTGCTCAGAGGATGAGGATATCTTGCAAAAAAGGGGTCATGATGAATAGCACTTACTTGTTAATTATGACGAAAAAAATCATAATTCAAGTAATGTATATTACTTCTAAAAAATGAATAAATGTAACAATATTTATTATAAAATCATGATGCGTAATGTTTTTTTGAATTCTTGGAACGTAACCCCTCTTTTTGTACTAGTTCTTTGTCCCTTATAAAACGGATTCGCATAACACGCTAGTTTTCTAGAATGTAACTGCCTATAATACTATATATATATATAAATATATATATATATATATATATATATATATCACAAAAGAATGGTTTAGCCATTGGGTTACCTTTGGTTCTTCTTGTTCTGATTGCCGTTGAAATAAATAAAATAAAAAAGTGTTCACAGCATATCGAAAAAGTGCATAATTGTTTTTAAATATGCAAAGGATTTGAAATGTTTTCGAACGACTTGCATACTGTTTATTCAGTATCATTACCAAAACATGAGGATGCGCATAATATATAATATGCAATACGCTTACAGAAGCTATTGCGGTGCAAATTGCAAGGCCGAGCCATAAATGCAATTCATACCAGATGGATGAGATGTACGTATAATATATAACGTGTATAATATTTTATTATCATTTCCATCGAATCTATGCAAGTAACAATCGATAAAACAAGTTCTGTTCTTCAAGACGACTTCGATCAATGTTGTGTAAACGCATAAATCATCATCAATGTATTGAAGAATTTTCTATGTAATGAGTTGCCTAATTAATTTGAAACTCTGTAATGTTCACTTGGATATTAATATAATGAAATTTTTATCAATGGCGTTTAGATAATGTTAAAGAATTTGCTGATATCAGCATCAAATATAGTTACGAAAAAACTGAACTCTATGTTATGCGTGGGGAAATTCATATTGCAATCGTAAGCGTCTGGCTTCGAAAAAATATTTGATATCGAGCAGTATTGATATTCGTTTACACCTAAAAATATAGATGAAAATATACTTCAAAGTGAAATTAGTTCTTCCCGACATTGCTCCATTAAGTTAAAATATCATATATTCATCCAATAAACATAATAATCGAAAAAATGGTATGACAATGAAAATTAATTTCTGCCCAAAATTCTGAACCGAAAGAATGTTTCTGGTTAGTTTTTGATAGAGCGGCCGTGCATTGAATATTGCAATGAGTCTTTTAATGATGATAGTCATCGTGGTCTTAAAAAGAATACTAAAATATTGACAACAAATGGTTTAATTGTGAATATTCATCCAAGTTTGAAAAAATGTGATGAGTCAAAATTTGTGTCAAAAGCCGCTTTGGTAATGCGATGAATCAACGTTTGATTTTTCGTCGTATTCTCAAAAACGGCTAACCGATTTCAAAAACTTGAAAGCTTAATAAGGTGGAGCCTTGATCAGGTTTACTAGCGCACCTTATTCTGTGATTGACGAATATACTCGTCATGGCTCAATACTGGCGACACAAAACTGTGCGCGCAATAAAATTATGTAAATTGTAATGATGTAATAAAATATATAGTAAAACATGCAGAAAGTTTTTTGAATCATTCAAATCGGATGCTTAGTTCTCTCAGAAACTCAATTTGTATCTTCTGCACTCTTTGCTCCGTATCTCCAAAACGGCTGTACCTGTCTTTGCCAAAAACTAATCAGCACATCTCCCTATCAATAGGAATTGGATGTTTTTTGAACCATTCAAATCGGTAGATCCGTGCGCAAAAAAAACGTGGTCGAAAAATTGTATCCATACATATATACACACACATCTATTTTTTCTGACGTATGCCAAAATGTTCAGAAACCTTCAAAACGTGAAAAAATGTAAAAAAATTTAATTTCGATTTTTGGACGATTACAATAACTTACCCTACGGGAAGTTAATAAACTATTAAGCATTTTTTATTTTAAAGTTATAAATGAAATGTAATTAAAAATCAAATATAACTTTTTAAAATTATTATTAAAAACTTTAACAAACTGTAAATTTGATTTTTTACTTTAGTTCTCTTTTTTAAACAATCCTTTATATATAGATGTGAAACGTTTAGTGCAGATTAATTATAATTATCACTATTCTGCATACCTACTTGTATAAACCTTATATAAAGATATTATTTACATTTCATTTATCACATAAATCATCAATTTTACATTGCTGATTCAAAATTGCGATGACAACATAACAACGTCATTCTCAATACAAGTGCACAAGATGAAAAAAAAACTATTTTGGTAAACTAAACGAAATAATGAAATATAATATGATAATAATAAAGCGATAGCTAATGGCTGATAGTCAAATTATTATTTTATTTTTTTGCCTTTGCAATAGCATTTGGCCACATATTTCTTTTTTTTTTTCTTATAAATTACAATCTGTCTATATAGAAAGACATTGAGTAATCAATTTGACAAATAACATAGAATACTCAGTGGTTCACCTTTTATTAATGTACTAAATTATATCTTAATTAAAATTTGATATTAGCCACATATATTAATTTCATTTATACTATTTTCTATTCAACGTTTTACAAGCATTTTTCATTTAGTATATATAGTATAGGGTAGAGCGTGGGTTAAAGGGCCGAAGGTAAAAAGGTCACCACCGATATCTCAAAAACAAGTAAAGTTAAAAAAATTCAACAACAATATTTGAAATAATCATAACAAAAGTATTTTCTTTCGTTGTTAGTTTTTTTGGTTGTGAGGACTGTTGTTTTGTTTACGAAAACTTAATATAATTTTTAAGTATATGTTATTTAATTATTTTTAAGATGTTGTTAATCCAACAAACTGAACCTTTACCTTTTCCTGTCAAAGGTGTAAGAATGAAAAATAATAAATAAAAAAGAAAATTAAGTTAAAACAGTAATTTTACATAAGATAAATTAAATAAAAAAGTTATTCAATCTCTGCTGATAAATATTTTCTGACGAAATACCGGATCAAGGTTATATACAGTGTTATATCTGTAAAAAATTACCAATGGAATTTATATTTTGCATTGGTTGTAGCTATTATTTCGTAAAATCCTTTCAAAAATAAGGCATTGGATCTGTTCACTCCTGGTCGTCCAATTTTTCCCCGCTTATAAAACACAAATGTGTTATTTGTTGTGATAAAATTGGTTTCATTTTTACAATAATATTGCTCAAAGTGCAATGGAGGTTTTTATCACCTAAAATCTTGTAATAAAATAAAACAGATAAACTACTTTTTGTTAAAAGCATATAATGTAATGATAAAAAACTAAACTGAATACTTTAAATTCAGTCTTCTAATCATACAAGATAATTTTACGTTTTTTTATTTATTTATTTTTGACAATAAAAAAAAATACAACAAAGAAAAAATACAACAGAAGATGAAATATATAAAAACAAATATGTTTTGTATTAAATAGGTCCAGAAGAAGTGATTAAACAAACAAGATAAAGGTAATAAATAAAAGGAACAATGTGAAATTAGACCAACGCAATGAGCGTGTCTCCCCCTCAAGAAGATGTGCATTCAGAAAATTGCGTTCGTTCAGAAACTTGTTCCGATTTGGAGTCTGGTTCAGAAAATGACTCAACAGATTCAGAATCCGACTCGTCTGACTGTTCAGAATATAAAGAGCAAAAGTTTGCATCAGAAATATCTAATCGACCAGGATGTGGAACGTTAAAACAATCGCAGCAATCAGGACTGGTCATATCGCAGAGCAGCGCCCCGAGCGCACCATCTTTCGGTAGCATCGCGGTTACGAATTGTGCTGACATACACTTCGGCAATAAGACTTACTATAAGGTATGTTTAGTAATTTTAATAGCTTCATTTTATTACATATTACACATTGATGACAAGCTATACAATGTTATATAAATCATCCTAACCCGTGGGCGCCAGTTGTTTATTCTTGAATAAATTGAAAAATTTCAAGTCATATGCGATAAGCGTCAATACAAGAGAGTACGAACTAAGAAATATTAATATATTATATACTCAATAAAAGTTCCATACAATAATAATAAATAATAAATTATACATACTCTTCTTTTATATATGTATATATATAAATTATATATTATATTATGCTATTACATAATATTTATATATATATATACAGTGCTGGATTTACAGTAGGGGCAATCGGGGCTACTGCCCAGGGCGGCAAATTTTGGGGGGCAAAATTTGGATAGTGAGAAAAAAATTCTATACAATATAATCAACTTTTTTTAACAACATTTTTTATTTCAAAAAATATAATACGATTGCAATACAAAATTTGGGTTGAAATAAACGATAACTGAAATTTATTATTTTGCCTTGCCTCCCTCTCCGAACGTAAATTATCAAATTGGTTAATAAGTTATCAAATTTGGCAATTTGGCTAATATAAATCTCCGTAAACAAGCTGAAAGTTTAAGAAAAATATGTACTTCAGTTCTCGAGCCCTCTTACAATGACGTATTTGTGCACTTCCAAGCTTATAGCGTCAAAAAAAAATTAAACTAGTGACTTATGGCATTGTGCCTTAAGACAAATTACTGAAACATCCCGTACTGAAAATTACATTTTTAAAGAGCTTTAAATTTTATTGAAAAATGAAAAAAAAGACTTCTAAAACACATTTTTTGTATTTTGAAAATTTTCGAAAATTATAATCTTTTTGCAAAGCAATCGCGCTACGTAGCTGTTTCAGAAAAGAAATATCGAAACTCAATTACCATTTTTCGTAATTGTCTGTACCAAAAGCTAATCAGCACATCTCCCAATCAATACAAATCTAATATTTTTTAATTATTCAAGTCGATTGCGAGAACACGGATCAACTGATTTATGATTCAATTCCTATTGATGAGTGGACGTGCTGATTAGTTATTGGTCAAGGCAGGTCCAACTGTTTTGAAGATACGGACCAAAATGCCAAAAATGATAATTCAGTTTTTGAAAAAAAGCGTCCAATAACATTTAAAAAAATTTACAGAATAAATAACTGCTTAAATTTGTGGGGGGCAGTTTTAGCGGTTTCGATGATCCAATAAAAAAATTTGAAAAAGAAACATTTGGCGGACAAAAGTGATCATAAGACATATGCACATTAAATTATCAGATATTTTAATGATATTATAATAATAAGTATAAATTTTGTTTACATTTATATAAGTTCTGTAACATTGTTTATCCGTTAGATTGCAACGCGGCGCTTACGCGCTTCTATATTTTGTCCCTCGCAGCTGAAGCAGTGCTATTGCTTTTAAAAAAAGTTGTAAAATTTCAGGGTTGGGGCGGCATTTTTGTCAGTGCCCCGGGGCGCCAAATTTCTAAATCCACCCTGTATAAATATATATATATATATATATATTGAATGGTAGAGTCTTGGATTTGTGTATATTTTGTAGAGTTTCGAACAAGAATCCAAAAATAATACAAAATAAAAAACAAGAAAAGTTTTTTAAAAAAAAAAAACAATTTCTTTATTTAATTATTTGTTTATTGTCGACGTTTCGGAACTAGGTACGTTCCATCTTCAGGACATCTGTCAAGAAACATGATCTTGATGAGATTTTAGCAAACAATATGTTTAGGAAAAGAAAATAGATTTTTCTTAAATAATGAATTAATTGCAAAAAAATATAATAATGTACAGAAATATGATAATATGTTCAAAATGAAAATGATAAAAATGATAAAAATAAATGAGTGGATTATCAGAACAGGATATTAAACATAATAGAAAATTTTTTGAAAGTTATGGAAATTTTTTAAGAAAAGGTTAATGACAAAGTTGAATTAATTACCTGTATGTTTGAATATTTGTTAGCACTTTTTCACTAAACAAGCTTTTTTAACAAAAATGAATTTGTGAGTTAATTTTCCGCCGAATAATTAGATTTTGTAAATCAAAATTACTAAAAGATTTGTCTTTTTTAAAATTATTATTTGAAAACACAAATAATGTTGTTCTCTGGATGTTGTTCGATTGGCTTTTGAAAATTAACTAATTGAAACTGGTGTGTCCTTTGAGATCTCACATCTCTCGTTCAAGTGTTTACACGTGTTACAAAGGACACACCAGTTTCAATTAGTTAATTTTCAAAAGCCAATCGAACAACATCCAGAGAACAACATTATTTGTGTTTTCAAATAATAATTTTAAAAAAGACAAATCTTTTAGTAATTTTGATTTACAAAATCTAATTATTCGGCGGAAAATTAACTCACAAATTCATTTTTGTTAAAAAAGCTTGTTTAGTGAAAAAGTGCTAACAAATATTCAAACATATAGGTAATTAATTCAACTTTGTCATTAACCTTTTCTTAAAAAATTTCCATAACTTTCAAAAAATTTTCTATTATGTTTAATATCCTGTTCTGATAATCCACTCATTTATTTTTATCATTTTTATCATTTTCATTTTGAACATATTATCATATTTCTGTACATTATTATATTTTTTTGCAATTAATTCATTATTTAAGAAAAATCTATTTTCTTTTCCTAAACATATTGTTTGCTAAAATCTCATCAAGATCATGTTTCTTGACAGATGTCCTGAAGATGGAACGTACCTAGTTCCGAAACGTCGACAACAAACAAATAATTAAATAAAGAAATTGTTTTTTTTTTAAAAAACTTTTCTTGTTTTTTATTTTGTATTATTTTTGGATTCTTGTTCGAAACTCTACAAAATATACACAAATCCAAGACTCTACCATTCAATATATTCCAAGAACATTATGGAACGAAATTTCTTTCAAAACTTATCAAGAACTGTAGATTACAAACAAATATGTTTAATGAAAAATATTCAAAACTTAACTCTAAATATGCTAATGTTATTAACAAAAAAAATTTCTAATTCGATGTAAAAATGAATGGATTATACCTAATTTTATTTCTAATATTATAAACAAACAATTCTTATATAACACTTTCAACATCTATAAAATTGAACGACAAATTAATTACCTGAAAATGTCTGTTTTGAATCTAGAAATAAAAAATACTTTTATCTACATAAATTACTTGAAATCACAACTGGATAACATAATCAATACACTTTCCAATACTTTGAACAAAGACCTCTTAAATCAATTTTTAGCTTTTGAAAACTATAAATTTAACAAACATTTTAATACTACTAAAGAAAAACATATTAAAAAAACTAAAACTTTAATTCAAAAAAGAGATGACAACTATCCCTTCAAAATCTCTAAATCTTGTACAGATAAGTGGTTAGTTAATAAAACTGATATTTACATTCCAGAAAATGTTAAATATATTCTAGCATTAGGTCCAAAATTTGCATACTCTCCTCAAAAATACAGTAAAACAGATTTCATAAAAATTCTAAGTAATATTGAATACAACATTAGAAACATTGAAACAAACAAACAGAATAACATTAGATCAAAACTATGTGACAGACTGGTAAAACATATAAAGAAAGTAAATAATAAATTTCAAAACTTTCATTTAAAGAAACTCCACAAAGACATTTTAGAAACTAAAGCTTTCATTAAATCTAATAATATTATAGTTTGCCCAGCCGATAAGGGTAATATCACAGTCATTCTTGACAAAGAATTTTACAACAATTCCGTCCTTAACCTACTTAAAGATGATACAACATATAATATTTTAACAGAAGATCCCACACAACGTTTTTCTAGAATAGCTTTTAAATTAATCAATGATCTGAAAAACAAAAAACTAATTTCTGAGAATTTTACTTTTAACCTAAAAATACAACACCCTATCTCCCCTAAGATGTACTGTCTTCCAAAAATACACAAACCTGAATGCTCTTTCAGACCGATTGTCTCCTACATTGGCTCTCCTTTTTACAATATTTCGAAACTCATTTCTGATGTCCTAAAAAATGTTACAATCAATTCTCCCTATTATGTCAAGAATTCGTACCAATTTGTGAATTTAATTAATAACCGCAACATCCCTGAAAATCACTTATTTCTAAGCTTAGATGTGGTCAACCTTTTTACATGTGTCCCACATGAATTAATCCTAAACTCAATCGATAAACGTTGGCACACAATTTGTAACTTTACTGACTTTCCGAAAACAGTCTTCACTCATATTATCAACACTATTTTAAATTACTCCTATTTCCATTGCCAAGACAACTTTTATTCTCAAATTAAAGGCGCAGCTATGGGATGTCCCTTATCTCCCGGAATCATCGACTTAGTTTTACAAACACTAGAAATTTCCGTTTTCTCAACTTTAAAATTTCAAATTAACTTTTATATTAGATATGTAGATGACACTTTTTTTATCATTAACAAAAATCATATAAACACAGTACTAGATCTCTTCAATAATTTTAACAATAATATAATTTTCACACATGAACTACAAAATAACAACAGACTTAATTTCTTGGATGTATCCGTTTACAACACTAATAACTTTATTCGAACAAATTGGTATAGAAAAACTACATGGTCGGGTAGATACTTACACTATTCCTCATATTGTCCCAGAAACTATAAGATAAACACTATTATTTCCCTTACAGACCATGCTATTTTGTTGTCTCACCAAACTTTCCATCCACAAAATTTATCCCTAGTAAAAATAACTCTAATTGAAAATGGTTACCCAAAAAATCTCATTCATTCAGTTATTCAAAAAAGACGAACTTTCTTAAAAACACAAATTAATTCTCCCAATACCAGTACTAACATGAAGATTTATATTATTATTTTGCCAAAATTTTGTTAGAAGAAAACATTTTAGTATCAGGCTCATCCTTACACTCCTTCAACCAATTCTTTACGAACATTAAATCCCCTACCCCATCCAATCTCAATACTAATGTAGTATATTCTGTTTCTTGTAATGACTGTGCTTTTCAATATATTGGACAAACCTCCCAATATGTACACAAGAGAATGAGACAACATGAACTAAGTGTGGTCCACCATAAACAAAAAAAATTCAAAAGTACCCTAGTACAACACTCTATAGAAAACGCCCATTCATTTAATTTCACTCCAAAAATTTTATATCATGAAAGTTGCATCTTTAGAAGGTTATTCGCGGAGAGTTGTCTCATTCTCATAAATGTTTCTAACAGTGTCAACATTAGAACACAACCTATTACATGATTCATATTTAAATTTTTTACACTTTTTGACAAACAATTAATATCGACTTCCTTTTAAGATCAACAATTTAAGTATTCACACCCTAACATATAAAAACACACACATACAATCTCACATCTCTCGTTCAAGTGTTTACACGTGTTACAAAGGACACACCAGTTTCAATTAGTTAATTTTCAAAAGCCAATAGAACAACATCCAGAGAACAACATTATTTGTGTTTTCAAATAATAATTTTAAAAAAGACAAATCTTTTAGTAATTTTGATTTACAAAATCTAATTATTCGGCGGAAAATTAACTCACAAATTCATTTTTGTTAAAAAAGCTTGTTTAGTGAAAAAGTGCTAACAAATATTCAAACATACAGGTAATTAATTCAACTTTGTCATTAACCTTTTCTTAAAAAATTTCCATAACTTTCAAAAAATTTTCTATTATGTTTAATATCCTGTTCTGATAATCCACTCATTTATTTTTATCATTTTTATCATTTTCATTTTGAACATATTATCATATTTCTGTACATTATTATATTTTTTTGCAATTAATTCATTATTTAAGAAAAATCTATTTTCTTTTCCTAAACATATTGTTTGCTAAAATCTCATCAAGATCATGTTTCTTGACAGATGTCCTGAAGATGGAACGTACCTAGTTCCGAAACGTCGACAATAAACAAATAATTAAATAAAGAAATTGTTTTTTTTTTAAAAAACTTTTCTTGTTTTTTATTTTGTATTATTTTTGGATTCTTGTTCGAAACTCTACAAAATATATATATATATATATATATATATATATATATATACAGGGTGGCTGATATGTAATACAACAAAGTAAAGCGCTATATTTTACTCTTTTTTTTAGTTTTATTGTTCAAAATCAAAAATTTCGGAAACAATATCAAATTTTAATATCAGTTTAGATTGGTTCTAATCGCCTTCAAGCGGCCGACAAAGCTATAACACGCCGCACGAAAGTGACTCTGGAGTATTTTGGCCCATTCCCAGCGAAGCGCCTTCTTAAGATGATCGATACTTTGGTATTTTTTAGTGCGAACCTTACTCTTCAAAATGCCCTAGGCGCAAAAGTCCAACGGATGAGATCCGGAGATTTTGGTAGGCATTGCGCGGTGGAAATGAAGCGAGAAACCTCTTTCTTAAGTCATTCTCGGTTGACACGTGCTGAGTTCAATGGTGATGAGTCCTGTTGGAATGTCCATGGTCTACTGCCAAAATGTTTGTCTACCCAGGGTTTCAATACTGCCTTTAAGACATTTTCCCAATAATTTCGGCAATTATTTTGATCCCACGGTTGATGAATACGATCGGAAAATGACCATCGACCGTTACGGTGGTTCACACCATTACCGTCGATGGCGTTTGATTTCTGGTGGCCAATCGAAGGTGTAAATTTTCAGCTGACCTCTTTGGCAAGTAAACCCAATCATTTTATTTGTTTACAATCTGCTCAATTTGAAATGACATCGCATCGAAGAAAACCAAATTCGCATCGCAGAAAACCAAACTAGCCACTTCCGTGCAAGCGAAGTAACTCCTTCGCTCTTTTCCGCCTATTTTTTTCTGTGCATTGGTAAGCTTTTAAACTTTTTGGAACTCCAATGGCTTTAATCCAAGCTCATTTTCCAATATGTGTTGCATCCGTTCTCGCGTTTTGTTCAGCTCACGAGCCATTTTTCTACCGACATTAAGTTCGATCAATTCTTGCCTTAACTTTTCGGATATATATATTTATATATATATATATATATATATATATAAACTATATTTTTATAATGTTCTTAAATAATATTTATATTATATAATATATAATATATAAATATAGATATATGAAATTGGAATAATTAAAATTTTATAAAATTTATATATAAATGTTTAAAATTTGACAGAATTCTTTTTCATCTTTGTAACAAAAAATATTTATTTAAAGATTTATTTATAATAGGGTAGAGCGGAACTTAAAAGTCATCGGGTAAAAAGGTCCACCGCCGCCAAAGGTCCACTCAATAACAAATAAAGTTAGGATTATTTAACATCAATATTTGAAAGTAGAGGGCAAAAAATGTATAATCAGCCATCACCTTAACTCTTACGACGTCGCTATCAGGCCGTGTTTGAATATATATATAATAACAAAAGTATTTTCTGTCGTTGTTAGTTTTTCTGTTTGTGAATTGTGAGCAAGGTTCTTTAGTTTACAATATCTTAATCTGATTTTAAAGTATACGATATTTAATTGTTTTATAAGATGTAATGTTAGTTTTAAGTTAGATTTAACAGATGTTTTTATATAACACCATAATATCTCACATGTGTGTGGAGTGAAAAGGACCAACTGAACCTTTACCCTGGCAAAGATTTAAACAATAAGAAGTGATAAATAGAAAAGTAAATTAAGTTAAAAAAGCATTTTATACGAAATGAAGTAGTTATTTCAACTCTACTGATGAATATTTCTGTTAAAAAAACAGATCAAGGTTATACAGGGCTATATTTTTACATTGTTATCACTGTAAAAAATGTACCCATAAGATTTATATTTTGTATTGGTTGAATGATATAGCTATTATTTCGTGAAATTCCTCTAAAATTAAAAATAATACATTGGAAATGTTTGCCCACTGGCCGTCCGATTTTACCCTGTCTGTGGGATAAAAAGGACCAGGTGACAAATATTTAAAGACAGCAAATAAAATACATTTCTACAATGATGAATTAACTGAAAGTTTTACTGAACATAGTCAGATTATTGTTTATTTGATGTGTGTTATTTGTTGTGATATAATTTGTTTGCTTTGCACAATGAAATTGCTCAAAGACAAAGTGGACCTGTGTGCTTCGTTCTACCCCAAGTTGATACTTTACCCCAAATATAAGATATAACTAAGTATATTTTGATAGGGGCCTGTAACCATCAAGCAATTCTTATACGGTTCGAGCCCAGTTGACGACGCCGGTGCTTTGTCCAACCCTGGATTCGAGCGCGATAAGTCAGACGACGCAAATCGTACCACGGATGGATCCGTACATATTCCTAATGGAGGCGCCATCCGTTCAGAAACAACCCCAAATCCGCACAACAAAGGTGGGTAAAATCAAAAGCAAATTCATTTTACGAATTTCAAAATATTTAACTTAATCTCAAAAGGAATAGATCACGAACAACTACATCGTACCATTGATAACCAATTGCCAATTACCAATAAAACCGTACTAATTAGAACAAGGACGAAAAATCATTTACATTATATTTAGAAGTTTTTTTTAAAACAAATCTTATAATGAGTGTAATATCAAGTTAATTTTATATACTGACCTCTTTTTAGACTAATTTTACTGAACTATCCACATAGTTTACAGTGATTCACATATCCAGGTAGTAAGATCTACGATAGCCTATATTATGCGTTACCTGTATAAAAGAAATTAAAATTATTAATCGCATAAAATATCGAATATTAGCATCGACAAATTCAGATAATACAGTTTTCAGAAAATTCAATAGGTATAAATATAATAATGAGTCGTTGGAATGGTGGATAAGTGTGCAACCGAAAATGGAGTGTAATAAATCTCTGTGTATTCTGAATTTAAATAAATTTATAAATAGAATTAAATTAAATGTTAAGTATAATTTTTTTTAGGGAGTCAACTAGTACGAGAATTGTGGGAGAAATGGCGAATGAAGGAACGAAGAAAATTTATCGTATTAGGCGGAGCCTTATTTTGCACCGTACTGGCGTTTTGCCTTGTCGTCGTATTTGCTGTACCACCAAGTGCTACATTACCACACAATAACAATATTTCAAGACTTAGTGAGGATGATAACAAAAATATCCCAATTAAAACAGAAATAGGTAAAATATGTATATACTAGCTACCCCAAAAAACGTTGTTTAAAAAATATCTCTAGAAAATTTTCAGTATAAAAAATAACTAACTGATAGTGAATGTAGAAGTGTGTGTATATAAGTGAAAGATGCATCTAACACAAATTAAATAAATGGTTTACCCAATGCAACTCTCATAAAAATATTCCTGGGACATACTAATAGTCATTGCAAATTAAGCCTAATCTGAAACTGATTTAATTAAAATTGAGTTTGCATATTTTGTTATTCAAAGTTTTTATATATCATTACCGCGTTTTTCATTAATTCATTAATTTTTGAATTAAGATAAAAAATTCTAACAATCATTTCAGAAATTTATACAACTTTGTCATACATGGATTTGGTTTTCTCTCAAAAACTGTTGTATCTTTAGATTATAATATTTTTGCTACCTAGGTACTGATTAATAAGTGCACATAAGAAAATATTTATACGATGGAATAATAATAATCCTACAAATCAGATTTTGCAAGAATCGATCGACAATTTGACGCACATAGTTTTATCGATTAAACCTTTCCTTTGCCAAATTTTAGTACCTTTGTGTAGCATAATAAAGTTGTGATATAATTCCTTCTAATGCTTATTTCTTGGCAAACTGACGTCAAAAGCTCTCAATCATATTTATAACTAATCATTTGAGATTATTATATCACTTATTTTTTCGATTTTAAAAGATCAGTTGCTTCTAACATTATCTTCACAATTATTGGTTGCTATAAAATAGTTTTCACATTCTTTGAATAAGAGGAAGTGTTATTTTTTTAAATATTGCGCTGATTATCAAATTCAACTATTCATAATAATTATAAAACAAGGTAATTATGACTTAATCATAATGTTTTAAGGTAAATCTTTGCTGCCAGGACGAACATTACGAATAATATCTCGTCAAGAATGGGTGGCCCAACCTCCGGAAATACCGCCCGACCCTCTACCGACACCAGTTCCGTATGTCATCATAATGCACACGGCCACTGAAAATTGCTCAGACCAGGTAAGAAAAATTTTTTATCTTTTATGAGCCGATTCTGCCGTAAAATAGATCAATGTTATGACAACGCTATGTTACAAAATGCTACGAAATACGGTCAAAATGCCATGTAGAGCGGGCGCTGTATGGAACCGAGTATGCATAATATGAAGACTGCCAACTTTCTTCAGATTCTTTTACCTGAGATGCCGAAAAAAAGAGAAAACCCATGTTGTCAGCTTCGGCATTGGTCGTATTTTCATGTACCTGCCTCTTTACTTTACCCATGCCTCCATGCGTTGTGGCGCTCGACGTAACCAGTATAAAACAAATAATGTTTTACTTTTTTATTATTTTATTATTCTTGAACAGCAATCAGAACCTAATGGTTCTATAAGCTGTTATGCTGATTTGACTAGTCTGTTTGACAGAGGGCAACCTCTGTTTGATATATTATTATTACAATTTCTGTAATAGGGCAAATATTTATATTTGGTACAGCAATGCCGGATAAGGGCTATTCTCACTTGGAAACATATTGCTATCTATATTTCCAAGTGAGAATCGTTGTCACTACTGCCTGACAACAGGCTGCTGGAAGTGGGTATCGAACCCGGGACCTCTAATTCAGGTTTCATCGCTCTGACCGCTTACCTACGGGCGAGTCCATGTTTTACTTTTATTCGTATTTACATCATATAATTCAATATATTATTTATGTTACTTAAATATCGATATTTTATTTAAAGAAAAGCGCTGAAACTCTCGGTACAGGAAATAAACATTAAGAAGCAACAACGATGTGAAATATCGTGATTTTGCCAAATGCCACATTCGGCAGAAAATATTCAAAAAGTATTAGATCCAAGAAAAGATTAAATATTCCGATGCTCATCAACAGTTAATTTTTTTCAAGAATAGATAGGGGGAGGTCCCGTAACGCCGGACGACACCAAGCAACGGACACTCTATTTAACACGTATTATTTAAGCAAGTATAAATCTATTCATTTCAAAATACAAGTGAAAGGGGCACTGAGGGCACACAGGTACAGGATCACGCACCAAGCCTCGCCTGTGACGCACACGGCCACGGCGAGAGCAACCCATTTCTGTTTTAGGCGCAAAATCACGGCGTCACCTGAATATCAATGGAAGTAATTCTAGCATATTTATGCATTTACATTTGAGTGGTACGCAAAGATAAATATTGTACTTGATTGTTATCCGTAAAATGATAAAATATTATTAGATCTTTTAACCAATTTTAGTAGGTGCCACCAAATAAGCGAAAATGTCTGTCCCTTAGCACCGGACACTAAGTCGTCCCTTAGTGCCGGACAGTGAACATGTTGATATTTCTTGTAAGAACATACGTGATTTATTCCAATTATTTAATTTTGTTCTGTATGAGTGCTAATGGTCGCTACATACCCCCATTTTTCGTATTTCCTAGTCGAAAAATGAAAAGCTTATGGTGAATTTACCAACACCGAAGCTGGCAACATGGGTTTTCTCTTTATTTGGCATCTCAGGTAAAAGACTCTAAAGACAGTTGGCGGTCTTCAAATTATGCATACTCGATGCCCTCTACAGCGCCTGGACTTATGTATTTGTTGCGCGATCAGGCGTTTTACACATAAAATGCAAACTTCACTCCCATGTTATCAAGCCATATCTCAAAGTCAGTCAGACAGTATTTAGTACGATTTTGTATGAAAACTGCTACATAACATAGCCTTCCGTAACATTCCTACGGCAGAATCGGTTTATTTTACGGCAGAATAGACCCAGTAGCCGACAATATATACAGCACTCAAAAGTATATCTTGTGGCAAAGTAAAGCGTTAAAAAAATAAAAGCGTTTAATAAATTGTTGAATTTTTGTATATATTAAAATAATAATTAAAAATATATTAACAGACCCATTGTAAAAAACTAATTTGAATATCTAATTAAAATGGCCAAATAATATGGCTTTCAATCATTTAGGTGGTAACTTATTATATTATCTGACAGGCGAGTTGCACATTTCACGTCCGATTTATTCAGACTTTTCACATGGAATCTAGGAATTGGTGGGATATCGGATATAACTTTCTAGTTGGAGGTGATGGAGCCGTATACGAGGGACGGGGCTGGGATTCAGAGGGATCACACACCAAAGGTAATCAATCGTAGAAGAAACGATGTATAATTTGTTGCTAATTTATTCCTTCGCAGTTTATTATGAGTGTTGTGATGTAAATTGTACAACACACACACTTATATATATATATATATATATATATATATCTTCTATATATATGAAAATAAGTCGGGTTTTCCTTCCTGACGAAATAACTCCAGAACGCATGAACCGATTTCGACAATTTTGCATTCATTGGAAAGGTCTCGGGCTCCGCATGGTTTATAGCTAAGAAAATGCTGATTAGTTTTTGGCACAGGCAGGTCTAGCCGTTTCGAGAAATGGTAATTGAGTTTTAATATTTCGTCTCTGAAACAGCCACGCAGCGCAATTGCTTCGAAAAAAATCATAATTTTCAGAAAATTTCAAAATAATGTTTAAGTTTTTTTTTTTCAAAAATTTGAAGCTGTTTATAAAATGTAATTTTCAAAGGCAAGGCGGCAAGCAAAATATTGAATTTTAATAATCAGTTATTTGAACCGAAATTTTGAATTGCAATCGTATTATGTTTTGTTAATTATATTTCTTGAAATAAAACATATTATTTAAAACAAATTAGTTACTTATATTGTATAGAATTCTTTTCTCACTTTCCAAATTTTGCCGTCCCCGAAAATTTGCCGCCCAGGGCAGTAGCCACGACCGCGAATGCCCCTACTGTAAATCCAGCACACTATATATGTAAACAATAAAACCTATATTACGGGAGTATTCTAGTGTAGAAATTAAAAAAATCGATTTTTTTATTTCATATTTTCTAAGTTTAACTATCTAAGAATATGGGTACGAGAAGGTTTTTGAAAATTTGAATTATTTTCGGAGATATAGGCATTTTACTGACTCGGTCTCCAAACTGGTTTGGCAGGGTTTAATCGGACAAAAGGCACTAGGAAGTCATTAGACCAATTTAAGGCAGTTTATCGTCGAATGAATTATTAATTCGATGTATTGGTTCAGAAACTCAAAACAATAATGAATCTCTAAACTCGTTGATTTGGATTTTCGCGCCGAAACATATTCATTCCCGATCTCGGGTATTTGAAAAGCAATATTTATTGCTGTTTGCATATTCAATAAAGGTTTCTTTCCGATTTTAAAAATGATGACCCTTATGGTAATGCAAATTGGGCCAGAAACTCATTCATTCACTGTAAGACGAGAGAATGCCCGGATTGGACGATCTGAAACACGCACACAATACGTACACAAAACAAATAATAGTTTGTCAAATATCTCCTTTCCGCCTTTTTGTATTATAAACCAAGAGCAAAAAAGCGGAAGGGAGATATTTGACAACCTAATACATACGTACTTGAACTGCTCCATTGGAAGAGAGAAATGTAGAAAATAGTTTTTTTGAAGTAGATGAAGGTCCGACGCATAAAACAGAAATGGCTGATTAAATAAACAAAAGTATAACATCATTTTCTGACTTTAACAGCAAAAAATTTCACGCAAAACTTTAAATGCGTTTTTTTCAGGACAGACTTTTTCAGTACTGTTGACACGGATTTCTCGAGTTCTACTCGACTGATTCACTTGAAATGTTCAGAGAGTCTTGTTTATAGACCTGTCCATAGCCCGAACTAGCATCATCCCAAAATGCCAATTTTCAATATATTTAAAAAATTCGAGAAACTAAAAAAAAACAGTAAAAAAGACACTTTTTTTCAAACAGTCGCCAATTTGTAAAAAAAAAATTTTTTACTCATCGCTAGTTCGAGCGATTGCAACACCATTGTAGATTAATAATCTTTTTATTTCTTTTATTTCGGATGGCTAGGAGGGATAAAATCATGTCAAGACTGAGGTGCCAATTTTTTTAAACCCCCACTTCATCGGCTGCCAGTTTCTTCAATTTTCAACTTTTTTCTTTTTATTGCATTTTGTATTGCATTTTAATAATAACAAGGGGTAAAAAATGGATAGTAAAAACATGCATTGCTTTCTTTTACGACACTTTAAAAATGACCAAAAAATTCATCGCTCTACACCTAGAATATCCCCTTAAACCTTTTACGACAATTTTTTTTTTAATTATTTATTGAACAGCAATCTGATAGTCCTATAAGCTGTTGTGCTGATTTGACTTAATATTACTAGACTGTTTGACGGATGGCAACCCAAACAGTTGTCACATCTCTGTATGATATTGTATTTTTACAATTTCTGTAATTGGGCGAATATTTTTATTGGTGCAGCAATGCTGGGTGAGGGCTAAATTTCACTTGGAAACATAATGCTATCTATATTTCCAAGTGAAAACCGTTGTCACAGCTGCCTAACAACAGGCTGCTCGAAGTGGGTATCGAACCCGGGACCTCTGATTTAGGTCTCATACCTACGGGCAAGCCTTTGCGACAATAACTCATAAATTGTTGTAAAAGGTTTTAATGCAAGTTTTATTATTGACTGTTATCTTTTTCAATATGTTTATATAAACATACCAGTTGACATCATAGCTGTGTATCACAGAACGTTGGTCTTTCAATAAAAATGCTGCTTGAATTTTTTAATATAAAAGTAATTTATAATTTAGCTTGTTTATATAATTTCCAGAAGAAGATATTAAAGTTATCTCTGCATATGATCCGATTTAAAAATTTAGTATTGTATCGACGTTTTAAGTCATTCTGAATCGTTTGAGACCCGAGCGAAAATTAGAGTTTTTAATAAAAAAAAACTGATGAATTATTATATAAATGTAATAATATCAAATGGCTTTTAAATTTTTGTAATTGGTGAAATTCACCGATACAAACGTGACCACTGACACTTATCGTTAGTACTTTTTCCAATTATTAAGTAATTACATGTTAAGTAACTTTACTATGTATAAGTGCTAATCTAATAAGTTCAAAACCACTGATGACGCAGAATTTTACGTCGAAATGTATGGAAAAATAAAGATGTAAATCTTCGCTTTATTTAATTACTTTAATTAATTTTTTACTTAATTTAATTTTCAATTTATTTTTTACTTAATGTTATTCCCTCCGAACGTATATCATATTACAATTATACGATATTACAAAATAATAATTTGTTGTTATTAACTCAATAAATAATTTGTTGTTAGCTTACCTTCTACATTTTAACGTATTGCAGGCAACATTATTATCATGTAAAACTCACAAATTTTCACTTTTATTAGCAACGTAACATTAAATATTACAATGTTTTTGTAAAAATAAAATTCATTCATTCGTTAAAATGATTAGTTTTAACACTTGACACTACATTACAGTATCATATTTTATTATGCAATAAATATAAGATAAAATGTTGTTTTATATCAACACCCACGATTTATTTTATTTTGCAAATACAAATACCATGTTATATAACAATTATGACACATCAGAAGGTGTAGATAAATATCTCGATAATGTTATATAGATTCATAACTATAAAATCGTTAAAAAAAATAATAAACTCCATATTTATATTTCGTTTACAATTACATTCAGTTTAATATAATAAAGACAAGTACAATAATTTTGAATTTAATAAAACAGTAATATTATTCATACAATTATACTTTATTTACACACACTTATTTTTTAACCCTTTCGATACGGCGGTGTTGTCCGCAGAAGTGACGCTGCTGAACGCAGCCCATGTATTTGTCACACAACATATTTTAATATTTTGCAATCTAAGCACTAAAAATATATTTTAAAGTCAAAAATACATTTCTCAAGAACTAAAATTACTACAATTCTCAATAATTTAACGCAAAGTGATAAATATGGAAGCAACGTTTAATGTTTAACAACGCACTGGATGTCGTCTATTGGAGAAAAACGTATCGAAACGGTTAAACACAATATTTCATAAAATACACCAATTACAGTTATTTGGCAATAACTTTAGAATTTTAGTAACTAGCATTTATATTATTTATTTATTTATATATAAATATATATATATATATATATATATATATATATGTATATTAAAAAACCAAAATATCCCATATTTATTACCTCAAATAAAAAGATTATACCAAGAGTATTTTTCTTTCATCAGGATATAACAAAATAAGTATCGGCATAGCATTCATCGGTACATTCAACAAAATAGAACCAACTCCAGGTCAATTGGAAGCTGCTAAAAAATTGATTGAAGAGGGTGTTAGACTTGGAAAGATATCACCAAACTATAAATTATTTGGATTTCGTCAGTTTGTGGCATCTCTAAGCCCCGGAGATGCACTTTTTCAAGAAATAATGACTTGGCCACACTGGTCAAATACCACGGAATAATAAATTGTAATTATGTTAAAAATATGGTAATCTTAAAACGCAAAATGCAGATCTAATTTAAACCTAAAAATAACATACTCTTATACTAATTATATGATAACTAAGTCTGCATATTTTTTTGTTTGTTTGAGTCAAAATAAATTATATTCTAGTCGCAAAAAGAATAAAATTTTAATTTTTTGGTACAACATTATAGAGTACATAATTCAATATATATATATATATATATATATATATATATATATATATATATATAGATTTATCCACATGAATTTAAGAAAAAAAAATCCAGAATTATAAAATATAAATTTTACTGAAAACTGTTTAAAAATAAATGTAGCCAACACAGAAATTAATTGAGGAGCAAATATTTTGCATTGAATTACTTACATTAATTGTTATTGCAATTCTTTTGGAATTTGAAGTCATATTTATCCCATCAAAAATACTAATTTTAATTCTCATGTAATAAAAAATAATTGAATAAAATTATAATTATTTTTGAATGATGTTAACAATAATAATAATTGTACAATATTATCTATGAAAAATTAATAAATTACAACATGAAGCAAAGGTACAACTATAAAATATTGCAACTTAGACTTATTAAGATGATCACTTCGATAAAATCGATTACTAAAATCTTGCCTTTGATTACGTACTGATAATTAATCTGATTTATTCTGAAAATAGTTTAGTATAGCTTTTGTTCATTTCTTAATATAAACCCTTCAATTCAATAAAAACAATTTATAATTTGTTTTTTGTTTTTTATTGGCCTTTGCTATAGCATTTAGTCACTTAAATTTCATCATCAACCATTTTTCAAGTCTACATTATTTTTATATTTGTAAATAGTGATCAATCAATTCAATGTGAGTGCCTTTGCATCCGTCAAAAATTTGTTCAAAACATATACTATTTATAATATATATATATTAGGGTGGTCCTTAAAAAGGTCATTTTCGAATTTCCTTGCTCCCAGGGGCTCAAATGGTTCCAAATAGATAAAAAACAATTCTCTGAAAGTTTTAGCTCTTAATATTAACGTTTAGATAGAGCGCAATTCAATCAAAGTTTTGTATGGAAATAGCATGGAAAATTTTTCAAAAATTTAAAAAATGTTTTTTAAATGTAATTTAGCGTACAAATAAATGAATAAAACTTATTTATTTGTCGCTAAGTAATACCTAAAACATTTTTTTTTAATTTTCAAAATTTTTTCCATGCTCTTTCCATACAAACTTTGATTGAATTGCGCTCTATCTAAACGTTAATATTAAGAGCTAAAACTTTCAGAGAATTGTTTTTTATCTATTTGGAACCATTTGAGCCCCTGGGAGCAAGGAAATTCGAAAATGACCTTTTTAAGGACCACCCTAATATATATATATATATATATATATATATATATATATATGATTTAGTAGTTATTTTTGATGTTGAGATATATGAGTAAGTTCTTGTAGGGTGATTAAAAACACAAAGATTAAGAATCAAAGAATAAAAACACAAAGATTTATGAATTAATCTTTAATTGCAAACGTTTCGACTTTCAATTTAATGTCATCATCAGTGAATATTAACTTTGGTAGCTTCAAAACATTTGGAATTAAAGATTGAAATATAAATCTTTGTTTTTTTATTCTTTGATGTATCACCCTATAAGATCTTATATATATATATATATATATATATATATATATATATATATATGATCAGTTATTTTGATTTGGGCAGTAACACCAAGTAACAAAAACTAAAGTAGTTGTAAAAACTTAATTAAACCATACGTTTCGGTCTTCGTCAAGACCATCATTCAGTCGAACAAAGAAAACTAATTATACAAAAATGTAAAAAACAGTGTAGTGTTTTTTTTTTGTATAATTAGTTTTCTTTGTTCAATATTTGCACTGATTGGCATCCATGAGCATTAACACTATTACACAAGTAATTATTATGTATCTATTGTGCAGTTATCTGAATGCAAAGACTGAATGAATGTTACGAGCACTGTTTTGTCTCTAAATGTTTGATTGCAAATTCGAGAAGTACATTTAAACGCTACCTACGAGCTAGTGTGCTTAGCTCGTTTTTTTTTATGTGGCTTCCCGAGTAGGTATTTCACAGATCTGTTGTGATTTTGTTCGTTTCAGAACATTTGCAAAATAATATTTGTGAATTTGGGTTGGTAAAAATAGAGGCGGTAATTATAAAAAAGCAACTAAATACATTCATGGGAGTCATAATTTTCAAATGTTTCTACATCTATCCCGAATCGTTTTTTGTGTTCTTCTCCTTTTTCTTCTAACCATTCTAAACCATTTCTTCTACTTGTTCTACACCATTTAGCCAAAAATCGCAATATGGTCCTTTTTCTTTTAACTTTGACCTTGGCCCATTTTTTTAGCTCGCATCGGGCCGATGAGAACTTTTGAGATTTCTTTTATAATTGTATTTTAAACAATTTTGCCAAGTTACAGCCCATTATGAATTATAGTAACCATCACCTTGATTTTAGGTTTAAATTGACCAAGCTAATATTCAGAGAAGTAACAAGTATAATTTTAAATGACCAAATATATTCAATGGATTCAATTAATAGTAGTGTGATTTTAATGCCAAGTGTAACAATGTCCTGCTAATGTATGTCAAATATTAGTATAAATATATTACTGAACTACTGTTATATTATTTAAAATATTGTAGATTAAATAAGTTATTCCAATTAACAACTTATTTTTTTCTATTTTATGTCATACTTAAACTAACAAACCTCTAAGTATATTAAAAAACAAGCACCAAATAATAAACACAATTAAGCAAGATTTTCTCATTGATAAAATTAAAATTTTCATAACAAAATAGCATCTTAAAATAATTATATATCATATATATTTTCCAATTTATACTCATAAATGTAATTTCTATATAATAATTTTATTTATATGGGATTAAATATAAGTGTGTATAAAGTGATCATTGTTAATTTAAAGCCTTTTTTTTTTTTTTTCGTAAGTGTTACTTAAAAATCTTTATAAGAATATATTAAAATCGAATATGAATTCCTACTCTGTATGTACAAATAAATATATACAATTTTTCTTAAATTTCGATTGTTCCTAATCAATACCTAGTGAAACTTAAATTTAAAGATATTCAATAAATGGTACCTAGTAAAACTTAAATTTAAATATATATATACTAATAACGATAATATGTAAAACTTATACTTAATTTATCAATTATTAATTTAAAATATATCATAGGCACATCAACAGCCATTTTTCTATGTTGAGTATGTTATCTCTTGTTTAATTCAAACATCTCACCAAAATTTATTGGCTTGTGTTAACTTTCAATTAGTAACTATAGTCAGTTTCAATAAGTGCAATTAGAAAATGGAATTATAAAAGGATCATGTAAAAAATTAAATTTATAAAAAATAGAATTATAAAATCATTAAAAACAAATATCATTTATGATTAAAAATATATAAAATATCAATAATAAATTAATTTTAAAATATCAGTTACCATTTCATTTTTTTACAGTTCCTTGAGTTGTAGCAGTGACTTTCGTTTTTATTGAAGAATTATTACTTAAAGTCGGGAATCTTGACGAAGTGCCCATTGTTCCATGGGATTTAGATGTTTTAAGTGTATTTTTTCTCAACACATTTTCTTTATTTTCTTTGTGATTTTGCAATGGAGTTCCTATAGGAGTTTTGAATAACTTTATGTGACTTTTGCCTAAAAGAGAAATTTTTTATTAGTGTGCTATAATATTAATATTACTGAATTTATAAATATATTATATTATTATTTATATATTCAGAAAAGCATGATTTAAATTTTGCCATGGTTAAAATTGGGTATTTAGATTGCAATTATAACATCTATTGTACCATGAATAATAAAAACTTCTCACCTGTTATAGCACTATTGCTTTTAGATGATGGGTCAGTTAAAACTTGTGACCTCTGTGAATTTGTAATAACCTTTTGTGAATTCAATTTCAATCTAACAGGTTTTGCAGGAATCAAATAGGTGGTTTGTGTAGATGGTTGCTCTATGTGGCTCACATTTTGAAGATCACTATGCATACTGCTATCAGATTTATCTAGCATTTTGTCACCTAACTTATTGTTGACTTTACAGATTTCATTAATACATTCATCACATAGAGTTTCAAAAGTAAGCCTTTGTTTTCTATCTTCATGCTCATTATTATCACTCAATGTTATGGTAGAATTAAGAGAAGGCACTTGAAAAAAAAATGACAAAAGATTAAAAATTAAAAATAAAACTATGGGCCATAATTTCATAAGTATTCAAAAATATACAAGAGTATTCTTTTATAGGATCACTTAAATATTACTATAAAATACAAATAACAATATAAATGTATATAAACGAAATATGATGTTCATATTTCTCACCTTCTTCAATAGCTAAGGAAGATATTCTAATTAAATTTCCATTCGCAAAATTACTATCACTTTCCCCTGATGCCAAATTAGAATAATTTATATAACATGATATTGATTTTATTACTTCATCCTCCATTTGTGACGTAAGCAAACTATTTGTTCTCAGAATATTAGAATATTCTAATATCTTCCTTGTGGAGGTAGAGAATGTGTCTAAAAACAATTTTCTCTCAAAATGTAATAATTTTAAAGTATGCTTTAATTGAATAGCCATGGCCTGAAAATTGAGTTTTAAAACTTGATTCTCAACAGCAACATCCTAAAATTATAAAACTTGATAAATTATTCATCTATTATCAATTTAACATAATGCATTACAAATTACTTACATCAGTTTGGTTTCTTTGAATAGATTCTTTCAACTTAATGTAGTTTTGATTGTGACCTAATACTAATGAATTAAACTTGGATTCAAGGCCAGAACATTCTTGATGAAATCTGTTCGCTGAATTTAATTGCATAGTTTCCTGACAATATAAAGAATGTTGAGTAAAAATAGTTTAATATTTGGCCACCGATTTTTGCGTTAATATTTTCAATAAATACATACCAAATATCTAGAACTTTATAAAAACCATACCATAGAGAACACCACATACACATGCACACAGATGCATCATACTCACCACATTCTTAATAAATTCTGGATAGATTTTCTTCACAATTTCAGAAATATCTTGATGTAGTTTGCTTCTATATTCTAAAAATCTTTTGGCTCTCAGAACTTGTAATAAACTTTCTTGAGAACAAATCAATCTTGCAAATTGCTCTCGTATAGAATTAGATAAGGTAACAACTTTTGGTACACCTAAATAGACATATTTTTATCAAAAACTTTGTCTAAAGCAAAACTAGTAGCATCATAAAGTAGTTCACAAATGTAATACAAAATCAACAGAAGATAAAATATATAAACAATGAAATTAAAAATAGTTTACTTAAATAATATTAAAATATTAGAAAAAAATATATTGAAATAGCTTGACCCAGGAGACTTAAGTGACTGAATGATAAGAATAAACAAAAACTTGATCAACATCAATTGAATAATATCTTTGGAGTTCTTATAAGTTAAGAAATTAAAAATGACATATCAGAATATTTTGAAAATGCCTATAAAGTGACTACAAATACCTAGGTGAAGTCGAACAAATATATATGAACTGATTGTGATTGTGAGGAAAATGTACTAGAAAAAATCATGTAATTTTTAAGTTTGTATTTTTTTAGAAATGTTATTCACGGCTACGATTCCAAAGTTTAAATGAATAAAATTAATAAGAATCAACCAAAATAACCAAATAATTATCAAAATTTCACCAAAGCTCTAGGTTGTACTTAAAAGCTCAAATTTTCCAAATAATATGAGATAATTTTTTTTATCTAATTTTTTTCAGGACAGTTATGTCAATTCAATCACCCTGTTTCGGCTTGACATTAAGTTCGGCTTAACATACATAATATGCATATTCATATACACACATATATATATATATATATATATATATATATATCTAACTCACCAAACTTGATTTGTTTTCTTACAGCATGGTTAGAGTCTGAAGTATCAATTTTTTTCTTCAGTTTTTCATTTTCCAATTCCAACATTTTAACACGTTCTACATAATAGGCAAGGTCTTTCTTTTGACGAACTATGTTACTACTGGTAACAGTTTGTATACTCTTTGCTCTATATTTTTAATGATTAAAAAAAAGGGATTCATAAATATTAAAAATTAAAGTATCTAAAATATTGTTTTTTTTACTAATCAATGAAATTATTATGATTTATAATTATGAAAAGAACTTCAAAATGTATAATGTTTGTTCTCAGATTAACACTTACAAACAATGGGTCAAATTTAATTCAAAATAAAATAATTTGCTTACCTTGTAGCATATTTCAAAGTATTATAGGTATCTTCAGAACTTAAACTTGATGGTGATATATTTGCTATCATAACTGTCTTACAGTTACCTCCTAAACTGTCTTTAAGAAGCCTAGTAAGCTTGGAATCTCTAAATTGTAAAAATATGAAGTTTAAAATTATTATAACACAGAATTTCATTTCAAATTCATTTTTACCTATATGGAATGTGACTATGTCCATCAGCTAAGCTATTAATGCAATTTCCGAGAGCTAACAAGGACTTGTTTATATTAGCGCCTTCTTTAAATCTCATTCCGAGACCCGAAGTGGCACTCGCTCTTTCGCTTCCCGCTAAATCGATCATGGACAACTTCATTTGCTGAACAACACCAGTAGTATTGTTCTTCATATGCATATGAATCTGCAATTAAAAATTAATTCATAAAGCGTTCTACATCAATAATAAATCCCTTTCATTTTATAAACATTTATGAATTATGAAGACCTGAAAAACAGCATGGCTTCTAGAGCTTTGAGAATTTGCATCCGTAGGATGTTGTGTGCGATTCAAATTTCCTTTATTCAACAGGGCAATCAATTCTTCAGCACTTGAGATAACATGTGCACTCACTCCTGACAATAAAACATTTCCACGATCTTCCCTAAGATGCAACTGCAGAGAAGGCTTCAGAAGATCTCTCACAATCTCATTATACACCTATATAAAAAAAGTAAAAAAAACTATGCCAAAACAAACTAGTATGAAACTATTACCTAATCTTTGAAAATACATGATGAGGGATTAATCATGTGAGCCTTGAAGGGGGGAGGGGGATTGGTGAGATAACGCATGCATTTATTTTTTACTTCACTTTAAAAAAAAATCTAAAATTTTTCAAAAAAAATCCATAAATTTTACAATTTTTTCTTGGTCTGAGAGAAGGAGGGGTAATTTTAAATATCACCACATATCACCAAGGAGGGCAGGGGTCCAGAAATCCTTAGAAATCGCTCACATAATTAGAATTTAATTGATTATATTACAAATACTAATATTTAGATTATATTATATTTATATTTTATTTTCATTACAATGTCCAAGTATTATATCAATAGATTAACATTTTAAAATTAATTTACTAAATTATTGACTAAGTAATATTGGGTAAAATATAATTACCTCTACATATGTTATAATCAACTTAAATGATCGATCGCTGTGTGAGTTCATCCTGTTAAATAACCCCACCATTGTTAAATAAGAAATTCCAGGAGATGCTTCATTTCCCAACATTGTAAAAGTCTTCCCAGCACCTGTGGCTCCATAAGCAAATACAGAACAATTGTAACCATCCATGATTGAATCTAGAATATCATTTATACTTTGTTCATAAATATCACTATTTGTCGCTTCAAAATTGAACACTCTGTCAAACAAAAAATTCAAATTTCTGTTTGGACGTTTTGTGACATCTCGGGCTAATTGGCGAACACCATGGAAATAAAATTGTTCTTCATCCTGCTTAGGATCAAATATTAACATTTGATCATTTAAGAATTTGATAATATTAGTGTGGTTGCTAGCAACTTCTTTCTCATTAGGTGGTCGACATCTGACCACAACTTTAATATTTGATTTGTCAAAATTCTCAATACGCTTTTTGATTGATGACTTTTTTGCTGAACTGCGAGGAGTTCTGCGTGGCGTGGAACACTTAAGAAAATTTGTCAAAACCATGATGTAAACACAACAATGATAATGATGAGATAAAAAATTTGTTAATATAAAAATAATGCACAAGTAACACTGAAGTACACGCAACAAAGTTATTATTCAATTATTTATTTCCAAATAATGCTCAATTAAAAAAATAATGAAAAAGAGGCTGAAGCAAAACTGACAGTTACTCTTCAAATCAAAGTACGTTGAACGAAACTAATTATGTTTTGACCATTCTATTTTGTGTTACCAGGTTATATACGTGTTGCCAAAGCGAACGCCTTCCGTCGTTAACGGGAAAATAACGGTTGAAGAAAACTGTTTCTTATTACTAAACGTAAACATCTTGAACTTGAGTCTTGTCAGCTAACTTGAACGAATAAGTCATTTTTTTCTTTTGATTTAAATAACTTACAAGCTTGATGTCAAATTACTTGACCATGAGCAATAAATATTACGATACTGCCTTAAATTTGGTTAAAGAAGCCGGAGAGGTACGAATCGCGCTGCTTTTGCAATTTACTAATGATAAAAATGTGTATACATATATAGTTATGAATTTGTAATTTTATATATGGTTACAACTGCATATATTAATTATTGTACAACTGGCGCACATTTGTTCCTTAAATACAATGCAAATAGGTAATGACTTCCAATTCATTTTAGATTGTACGCAATGCGTCTGCTAAGAAAAAAACGGTGCAAATGAAATCTAGCGATATTGACTTAGTAACTGAAACTGATCAGCTAGTGGAACAGATACTTATTGGTCGCTTGCAAGCAGAGTTTCCAGACCATAAGTATGAATGTTTGAATATCATATTATGAACATGAAATATGATGGGACATTATATGCTAAATATGTTCAATTTGAGTGTTCAAAATATTTAATATTCTCATTTTATTATTTTATTAAGAGATTAGTAGATTTATAGGTGAGGAGAGTATTGCAAATGGAGCACAATGTATACTTACAGATAGTCCAACTTGGATTATTGATCCTATTGATGGAACTATGAACTTTATCCATGGTTTTCCAAACTTCTGCATTTCCATTGCCCTACTTGTTAATAAGGTAGATAAGTATTAATCAGCTATATGTGTTATTTACTGAATTTATTTAAAATTTAGGTAATAGAAATTGGAATAGTATACAATCCATTATTAGACAAACTGTTCACCGCCCAAAAAAATAAAGGAGCTTTTCTTAACGGTAAAGCAATTAAAGTTTCTCAAGAAGTGGAACTTGAGAAAGCTTTACTTGTGGTTGAATTTGGTACAAGTAAAAATCCAGAAAAAATGAAGAATGTTATGGAAAACTTTCAGAAAATCACACCAATAGTTCACGGGTAATGATTATAATTTGTCAATAATGCAAAACTCAATTAAAATACAGAAAAATTTTATTAGGATTCGAAGCATGGGATCAGCAGCTCTTAATATGGCAATGGTAGCTATGGGAGCAGCGGATGCTAACTTTGAATTTGGTATACATGCATGGGATATAGCTGCAGGAATCTTGATTGTTGAAGAAGCTGGTGGTATTGTTTTAGATCCAAGTGGTAATTATTCACATGAAAGAATTGCATGTAACCTTAAAAAATCAGAACTAATCGAACAAAATGAAAAATAATCTAAAAAATGGAGAAAGTGTATTTCTTCATACTCACTAAACATATTGATATTGCTTGAAATAAAATGAGAATTGAATACTTAATCCAAAATTTAAAAATTTATTGATATAAAAACTGATTAGCTGCAACTTGACATAAAATTTATTTAATTTTAATTGGAATTGTCAAAAATATACTTTAGGGAAAACGAAAAATTTATTTTTAGAGTGGATTCACGGTAATTCAATGTCAGTTGTAAGTAAATTTTCATGTACAAAATTATATTTTTAAAAATTGTAAGTCATTGAAATCATTCTTCTATATTCACATATATCATGTAAGCAAATTTTCCAAATCAAAGTAAATAGTGACTACAGTGGAATTAAATTGAAATAAATCAATTATATTTTAGGTGGGCCATTGGACCTTATGTCACGAAGAGTTTTATGTGCTAGTAGTAAAGAACTTGCAATAAAATTAAGTGAAAATCTAGTGCAGTTCTACCCTGAACCCAGAGATTAAACATGCAATTTTTAAACAAATCTAATAATATATAGATTATATAATAGATCAATTCTTACCAATATGTTTAAGATATTGGTAAGAATAATAAATAAAAAATAATATATAGATTATATAATAGATCAATTCTTACCAATATGTTTAAGCAGCTTGTAGGATAGTTGTTCTGTAAATAAAGAAAACATACAAACAGAAAAACATTCAGACCTTTCAATATGAATTTTGTTAGTAAACGCTCTCTACTGTTTTAATTTGAAGGCTTCAGTATAAAAAAGTTGTGAAGTTGCATTACTCATCCTGTACCTTAATGCGGCAAATTTAGAGCCATGTTCGAACTAGTGTTCATGTTATACTGGTTCTTCAATTTGAGTGTAAATTAATATGGTCCACGAGTTACATCTCATCTCTGAAAGAAAATTTAAAATAGTATATTCTTTAAAAATTATGTGTATTAAAACTAAATAGTTCAAAAAGTTTATAAATTATACAATCTAGCTTAAGACTAAGTAAATCTTTACATATAATAAACAATTTTTGTACTAATTTATTACATTGCTTATATTCACAATTAACAAAAAAAACAATTACAAAATTGATCTGTTAGATATATAAAAATCGGATAAAAATAATAGATTTTGATTTGATAATAATTAAGATTTGATTAGTCAACTATAAATTTTGCTTAAATATATTTCAATTATATGAATATCTACATCATATATTTCAAAGTACGGCCACTCTAAAACATAACTCATTTTGATAGCAACAAAAATTGAACTACCTGAAAAAATATATACCTAATATAACTGATATGTAATCTGTTCCAGTTTCAAATCATTAATAAAACAATAAAAATGTACTAAATTTTTAACAACCCGTAAGTTCTAATCAAACATGCTAGAAAAATATGATTTTTTTTTTAGTGAATAAAACTCAAATAACAACGATAATTTTAAATAGTAGTGGCCCTACTGTTTTTGTACATGGTTGCTGACATTCAACATATTTCAATTCATTAATATTCACGTTTCAGTTGATTTTTATTATAATATAAAGACACAACTGTGTATCTAGTGAGGTTTACCTCTCTGACTTAACCTTTGTTGACATCTATGATTAATCAAATTTTATCTTGTATAAAAGGATGAGATAAAGCATGGTTTAATGAAATTCTTTTAGCGGGATCAAGTGCTAATGTTTTATCCAATAGATCTTTTAATTGAGACACTTTCTTCGCTTGATCATCAGGCAAATTTTGTTGACCTATCAACTCTTGTTGCAAGTCCCTTGTAGGTTTTAATATAGGCATAACCACTATTTTTTCCTTACAATAAAATAGACAATAATTAATAATTATATAAAAAATATTAAATATTTTGTGATACAACTTACCCTTTCTGTTACTTTGTCAACTTCGTGATACAGAAAATTGCAGTTTTGATCAAAATGTTGATCTTTAAATTGACCTCTACGGATAACTTTATTAGGGATTTTGCCTTTCACATCCATAAAAAATTTTAGCATTTGATTATTAGATTTACCACTAAACATTATTTTTCCAGTGTAAAGTTCATAGATTGTACAACCCGCAGACCACATATCAATAGCATAATCATATGAAATGCCAAGGATTATTTCAGGTGCTCTATAAAATCGTGATACTAAATATGGAGTAATGTCATTATCATTTATATGTGACGCTGATCCAAAATCACAAAGTTTTAGAACTAGTTTACTCTCATTTACTAATATGTTGTCTGGTTTAATATCTGTAAATAATATAAAAAAAATTAATTGCATGTCACACTTTAAATATACTTATATTTAAATATCTGAAATAAATACATTATCTTTTTAGATACAAATGCAATTAAAGTATTTACCTGCATGAAGTATTCCAGTCTTCTTTAGCAATTTTAATGCTAACAGCAGTTGTTGTGTATAGCTTCGTACAGCTTTAACATGCAAGCCAACATCTTTGCCATATTTCTTTAAAACTTCTCTCAAATTCATTGATAAAGGTTCTAAGACCATACACAAGTGTTGTTTATGGAAAAAATGACGATACAGTCGCATACAATGTAAACGATCCTCGGGATCTGCATCATTCAATCTTTTCAATACTTCCAGTTCTCGTAAACCCGTTTTGTGCCTGTCAAAAGCATATTATTATGTGATTATATATATATATATATATATATATATATATATATATATATATTGTAGAGCTTCGAACAAAGAATCCAAAAAGTAATAAAAAACAAGTTTTCTAAAAAACTATTTATTTATTTACTGTGGACGTTTCGGAATTAGGTACGTTCCATCTTCAGGACATCTGTCAAGAAACATGATCTTGATAAGATTTAAGCAAACAATATGTTTAAGAAAAGCAGAAGATGAATAAAATTGTAGAAAAAATAATGCACAGAAATATGACAATATAATCAAAATGAAAATGATAAAAATAAATGAGTGGATTACATAACAAAATATTAAAAATGTTAAAACATTTAGAAAGTTTTAAGAAAAGGTTACTGGAAAAAAAAAAACATAATTAATTACCTTGATTTTTCACTAACACTTATTCACTAAAAAAGTTTTTATCAAAAAAAAAGTGATATTATAAATTTCTTCTCAGACAAAGAAACAAATTTTGTAATTCAAAATTTCTTTAAACTACGCCTTTTTAACTTCCCGTAGGGTAAGTTATAGTAATCGCAAAAAAATCGAAAATGAAAATTTTTATATATCTTTACGTTTCAGAGGTTTCTGAATATTTTGGCATACCTTAGAAAAAATGGATGTATGTGTGTGTGTGTGTGTGTGTGTGTGTGGGTGTGTGGGTGGGTGTGTGTGTGCGTGTGTGTATGTATGTGCGGATACAAATTTTCGTCGACGATTTCGGGAACACCGATCAACCGATTTGAATAATTCAAAAAACATTCGATTCGTATTGATAAGAAGACGTGCTGATTAGTTTTTGGCGAAGTCAGGTCTAGCCGTTCCGAAGATACGAGGCAAAAAGTGCCGAAAACGGTAACTCAGTTTTTAAGAGAACGGAGCGTCCGATTTTAATAATTCAAAAAACATTTTACTTGTATTGGCAAGGTGAAGAACCGATCAAATTTTCATAAAGGCAGGTCTAGCGGTTTCGGAGATCTAATGAAAAAAGTAAAAAAAAATGACATTTGGCGGTCAAAAATGATCATTAGACATATGCACATCAAATTATCAGATATTTTATAGAGATTTTAACAATAAGTATAATTTTGGTTTACATTTCCATGGGTTCCGTACCAATGTTTACGCGTTAGACGTCGACGCGGCGCTTACGCGCTTTGATATTTCGTCTTTATGCAGTTAAAGCAGTACGATTGCTTTGAAAAAAGTTTAGATCTTTCAAAATATGTCAAAATAAAGAAAAAAAATTTAAAAAAAAAAAAAAAATTAAAAAAAAAAATTAAAAAATTTTTTTTTTCAAAAAAAAAGTAATTTTTTGTCTAATTGTTTGTCAAAAATCTTATTTTTTCGAAGTAATTTTTTTTCAAAAATGTTAATCGTTTTTAAAAAAATAATAATTTTTGGTACGGGAAGTTCCAGCAATTTGCCTTAAGGCACGATGCCTTAATTGCCTTAAGACAGAATTCCACTTACAGCTAGTTTTATTTTGTTATGTGAGAGAAATAGTATTATTTTCTTGATGTTATGAAACAAACTATTGGTAACAAACTGGTTATGAAACAAACTATTGGTAACAAACTGATTATTAAACACAAGGATTTTTTTTTTTTAACTCTTAACACTTGAAATCTGTGTGTATATATGTGCGCGTTGTTTTTATATATCAGGATGTAAATACTTAAATTATTGATCTTAAATGTAAAAAAGTGTAAAAAAATTAAATGAGAATCATGTAACAGGTTGTGATCTAATGTTATAAGCATTAGATAAGCGTTCATAGAAGCATTCATAAGTATAAGACAACTTTCCGCAAATAATTAACATAATAATTAACATTAGATCAGATCACAACCTGGTTGTGATCAGAACTTATGGGTTCTACGAGCTGTTGTGATGAATTACTTACAAACTACTATTAGTACTATTATAGGTTGCAACCCAAACAGTTGTCTCATCTCTATATGATGAATTTTATTATTACAATTATTGTAACAGTGATGAATTTCTATTGGTGCAGCAATGCCGTATCAGTGCTGTTTTCACTTGGAAACATATTGTTATCTATATTTCCAAGTAAAAACCATTGTCACTACTGCTTGCAACAGGCTTCTCGAAGAGGATTCAAACCCGGGACCCCTGATCCAGGTCCAGTCGTTCTAGCCACTTACCTACGAGCGAGCCCAAACTTGGTACATGATTCTTATTTAAAATGTTTACACTTTTTGACAAATAATTAATATCGAAATCCTTTTAAGATGGAACGTACCTAGTTCCGAAACGTCGATAAATAAAGAAATGGTTTTTTAAAAAACTTTTGTTTTTTATTACTTTTTGGATTCTTTGTTCAAAGCTCTACAAAATATTTACAAATCCTAGACTCTACCATCTTATATATATATATATATATATATATATATATATATATAGATTTTTTTTTTGTTTGGTCTGCCTCGGAACACGAGTGCTTACGTATAATATTCTATTTATTAATTATTTTTTATTCTTTATAAAAAAGAAATTACTGACATTTAGTGCTTGTTTTCCAATTATTAATTTTTTACAAAATGTATTAATATGTGTAAGTGATAATCTAAGAATTTCAAAACCGCTGACGATGACATAGAATTTTACGTCGAAACGTATGGAAAAATAAGATGTTTTAATAAATCTTTACCTTATTTATAATTTTTACTTTATGTTATGCCCTCCAAGAAATTAATCATATATATATATATATATATATATATATATATATATATATATATATACAAGGTTGTCAAATATTTCCCTTCCGCCTTTTTGTATTATAAACCAAGAGCAAAAAAGCGGAAGGGAGATATTTGACAACCTAATATATATACATACATACATGAGACTAAATCTTCAGGGCAATACATCAAATAAAAATTGTAGAAATTTCGAACATCTTTATTATTTCCACATGTTTACACTAGGTTACTTTCTTATAAATTAGTTCTACCCTTTTTCATTGTTACATTGTTTAATTTTTTTTCTCAATTTGTAGCCCAGTAAAGATAATATAAGATTATATGTCAAAACATACTGAAATAATAAGATATTATAAATATCGACAATTTTTTAATGAATGTATTGCCCTGAAGATTTAGCTTCATATATTTCAAGATCAAAATTATTAAAATATTTTATAAAACGGTATAAACTCTTAATTCGTGGCCCAATTCCTATATTCGTGGCCAATTCCTATATTCGTGGCTAAAAATTTTATATTCATATATGAAATGCATATATATATATATATATATATATATATATATATATTTTAGATACTGAATAAATATAAAAAAAAATTGCTGAATGATAACACACCGTGTCGAAACGTAAAAATAAATAGTTCATTATTTATTGTTCTTTTATTTTGACGATTAGCTGCAAATATAACATTCAAGAATATATATATATATTCAATATCCACTGATGATATCAAAGTGTATGTCAAAACATTTGCAATTGAAGACTATTTTATAAATCATTGTTTTTTCTTTGTTTCATGTACCGCCCTTAAAGAACTTACTCCTATATATATATATTAGGGTGGTCCTTAAAATGGTCATTTTCGAATTTCCTTGCTCCCAGGGGCTCATCAGATGGTTTCAAATTGATAAAAAACAATTCTCTGAAAGTTTTAGCTCTTAATATTAACGTTTAGATAGAGCGCAGTTCAATCAAAGTTTGTATGGAAAGAGCATGGAAAAAATTTTGAAAATTTAAAAAAAATGTTTTAGGTATAACTTAGCGATAAATGAATGAGTTTTATTCATTCATTTGCTTACTAAATTACATCTAAAAAACATTTTTAAAATTTTTGAAAAATTTTTCATGCTATTTCCATACAAAACTTTAATTGAATTGCGCCTATCTAAACGTTAATATTAAGAGCTAAAACTCTCAGAGAATTGTTTTTTATCTATTTGGAACCATTTGAGCCCCTGGGAGCAAGGAAATTCGAAAATGACCATTTTAAGGACCACCCTAATATATATATATATATATATATATATATATGTATATATATATATATATATATTTGCCAATTTTATATATATATATATATATATATATATATAAAATTGGCAAAAAATCAAATCAAATATAATCAAATTATTAATTGCAACTTTACGATTAAAAACAAAATGTGAAGTTCAGAACAAGTAAAACCATTTTGATGAAACACATCCAAGTATTACATTGTTTACCTATAACCAGAATTATTATTGATATTACTGAATAGATGTTTAGAATATATACATACATAATTTCATTATTACGGATGATTTTAACAGCAACATCCTGTCCTCCCCTTGCTTGATCCCTTGCTCTTACAACATTACTGAAAACGCCTTGACCTGTATATCCATATACAAGGTAACGAGCATCTAATATTTCACCAATTCGAACTCTATAATAACCTTCTGCATCATCCCAATTATCAGTCAGTGATGGATTTTCGGCAGCTGCGCGCCGATGAATTGAACCACTTGGAGACTGATAAAAATAAAAATAATGTCAGGATAAAATATATATAAATTTTATCTTATGAAAACTTTCATAAATTTCTCAATATTCAAAATCATTGAATGAATTGAAGAAAATCAGAAACCAAATTCTGATAAAAAACAAATTCTCTTTAAAAAAATTAATGATTTTTCTTCAAGCATTAAAAATCAAAATTAAATTATATATATATATATATATATATATATATATATATATATACATTTACATATATATGTATATGTAAATGTAGAAATATCAATAGCAAATATCAAACCAAAGATAAAAAAAACTTACATCATAATTGCCATCAAAATCGTTCTGTTCAGCAAACATGTCCCATTCGCCCTTACGGCTGTCTTTACTTGACTTCACTTTATCATTATTATTTCCGTTGTGTGATGTATTTATATTATCAGGATTATCAATCTTTTTCTGTTCAGATTTAGATATAAACTTAGGAGCATATTTAGTATCTGCTTTAATTGGAATAGGAGGTGTTAACGTTCCATCACTGTTTGATTTCTGTAGACTTTTTCTTCGTTCAGGCAAAGTATTTACCTCAGTTTCTATAGCACCTAAATTAGAATTCATAGTATTGCTATCTTCACTCAGGGCACCTAACCTCTGTAAATAAATGTTATTGCTTTAATATCAAAATTTTATAATTACTTTTTTTTAAAAAGTTACCTTTAATAATTCTTCTCTCTGCTTTCTACGTTTCTCTATAATAGTTTCTTCGTCCTCTTCATCTTGAATATCTATATCATTCATTTCATTTTCACTACTACTTTCTTTTGTTTGTTTGAGACCTTCACTTAGAGAATCCTGAAATTTTTTTGCCAATCACATAAATATTTGTGAATTGTATTATTCAAAATTGTAATATATAGTAAAAGTATATGACAGTAAATCCATTAAATATTTATATATATATATATATATATATATATATATATATATATGTTTGAATACATAAGATATGTTGAACAGAAAGATACAATAGACATATATAAACATCTATGTCAAATACCTTGATTAATTACACTACATTAAAAAAAAAAGTACAAACAAAATTACATATTACAACAAAGTACAAAGCAAAAGACATGTACAATTATTTAAAATCATATATATTGAAACGTCAATAATTAAAGCGAAAAAGGTGTGTAACACACAATGGTATGTTTTCGTGTAGTAAGTACATTTTACAACACCCCTTCAAAAACATATAATACTCAACACGTTTAGTAGAGTCAAAGATAATTTTATACAAAATATAGAAAAATTATCTAGCCTTTAATGTAAGCCAAATCCGTCAAGAAAATTATCTCACTTTGAATTTGTCCTTGTCCTTATATTCCCGACGACTAGATCTATGCCTATGATGGTCATAATGTTCTCTGTCAATTACTCTGCTGCGCTCCTTATGCCGGTCCCTTATTCTGTTTCTACTTCTGTCATGATCTACCATTTGCCTATCGCGACTACGTGACCTAATATTATTGCGATTGTATCTATCTTTTGATCTACTGCGATGCTTATCATGGGAAGCGTTTCTACTCAAACTTCTTGGCCTATGATTTCTCTTATCTCTTTCCTTATCAAACTCTCTTTTTTCTCGTTCTTTCAAGCGTCGTTCCCGCTCTCTGTGAATATCTCTATCGATTTCTTTTCTTAAATCCTCTTTCACACGCTTCTCACTGCGTGCATGACGATTAACAATATCGCGTTTATCAAATCTACCTTTATTCAAATCATTTCTAGAGGTACGAGAATATACAACTTTCCTGTCAACGCTACGAGATCGACTACGAGGCCTTTTTCGAGAATAGTTTTGTTTCAAATTGTCATCACTACTGGAATCATCAAGTAGTATAACATCTGATTCTTCCTGCTTCTTAGAAACTGTTACACTTGCAGCATTAGTTTCGTCATCCAAATCAGATCCTTCAGAGTAATAAGCACCTAATCTTGCCTGCAATAATTCTTTTTGCTTCATTAGTTCCTCCAAATTTAATTCGTCTTCGATAACTGCAACTTCTGGGCTTGCACAATCCTCGATCAGGCTAAAATAAATAGAATTAACAATCAATTAAAAGCAAAATGAGAATAATATATAAATATATATATATATGTATATAAATATATATACATATTAGAGCGAGTTGATTTGTATGGGTCAAATAAAGTCACATAGGCACTTATGATTTTTGGCTACTTGAGATCAAAATAAGATATTTTGCTAAAGAAACCATACCTCTGAAATAAACTGTGACGTCCCGTGCATAGACCCTAAAATAAGAGTTAAAATTTGAAAAATTCCATTTTGACCCATTAAGAAAGCTCCAATCACGTCCAAATGTATTACTGACCCCAACTAACTTTGGAAGGCCGATTCACCCATGCTCATGGTTCACCCCTTGAGTTGTTTTTCAAAATTTAACCGTTATCTTTGAATCAATACACGAGACATCAGAATTCATTTTAGAGTTATGATTTCTTGAGAAAAGTATCTTATTTTGACCTCTAGAATCCGAAGATCATATGTGACTAGTGACCTTCAAATCGAACCCCCTAATATATATATATATATATATATATATATATATATATATATATATATATATATATATATATAAAATATAAATAAATATATACACACCCATCACTTTCAGTTTCTGAAGAAACAACTTCCAATGTCTCAGGTTTGCCATCAAAACTTTTATTAATTAAATTCACTATAGCTGCAGGCTCAGTACATGTAATATTTTGTTTCTGAGCATCTACTAGTTTAGGTTTTGGCCTTATAACATGGGAATTTGACAAACTCGAAGCACATTTTATGCCATTAGTAACTTTCATGGGACAACTTTCATTTTTTTTATCTGAATCGGAGTGACTCTTTGATTGGGCTCTTAACAAATCTCTCGAGTGTTCAGAATGCTTATTGACATCATTATTCTTATGGTGTTTTTTGTGCTTTTTATGTTTCTTGTGTTTCTCAGTACGTTCTACCTTGGTTCCCTTCTTATGCTTTTTATGCTTCTTCTTCTTTTTCTTGTCCACATTATCTGGCGTATAAGATCTTAATTCCTTACTAACTGACTCCACTGATCTAGAAGATCTATTCAACAAAAAACATTTATAACCAGTAAAGTAATTGCTAATGAAATGATTATTAAATATACTAACCCTGATTCTTCCATGGTCGAAATAGAATATGATCAGAACTTGGAAAATTTCGTTTAGAAAATGTTTAAATTCGAGAATCAACAAATGCTGCATATAGTTGTGCATAAAACAATTGCGGGGAGTTATATTGAGAACAAATTGATTAAAAGCTGTACTCACAAAACAAGTGACATTCTGACATACCGACTTGAACATGAGTGACAGCCATTGCAGTTTTACGATCGCACCGCACAGTGTAACCAATATGATAGATTCGAGAATTGTTTTAAAAAATTACAATAAATGTTTAATATAATTTCACAATACGTTTAACGTGCTTTTAGAGCTATTTAACATACAGCAAATCAACAAATATAAACAATCATATCCTATTATGCTATTATGAATGATAAGATGAGTTAGGTTTAATTGATACCAACTGACACATTGACATTGTGTGTAAAAAGTTCTTATTAAGTCAAACAATCAACCAATCAACAATGTTAAATAAGATAATTAAAAAACAATGTTAATATTGATATATAGTATATTTGATTTGATCACAAAACAGTGAAATTATTGATTAGAATTAATTTTTTATTATAGTTTATTAAAATTTAGAATCAGAACCAGCCGATTTAACAAATAATTTTTAGAAAATGTCAAATCGTGTGAAAACTAAGGAAACCAAGAGTGGAGAAATAGTTGCGTATAGTGAATCAGCAATACGAAATAATGCTGCCATTTTTGAATATTGCAGAACTTCTATGTCAGCACTTTCTGGTGGAACTGCAGGTTTATATCTTCAATTGAGTACAATTGTTTGACTCAACCATAAATAATTTATTATCTATAAATTATATCAGAATAATATTTGCAATTGTAGAAAAGATTATTAATGCAGAATTTATTTTTGATAGTTTAAATTCATTGTTGGTATTATTACTGTAAATATATAATATCATTACAAATTGTTTATACCAAATCTTATGTAAACCATAAAATGTTCTATAATGTACAGCATTGCCAATTTTATTTTTTTTTATCTTTTTGCTCAAAGTTATTTAGCTTGTTTTAAATAATCTATAACATTCAAAGCGTTTGTCATTCATGTTGAAAACTAGCATAAAAACATCTGAATTTTAATACTTCAATTAATTTCAGGAGTCTTAGGATTGACTAGCTTTCATGGCTTTGGATTTTATCTACTAGCAGTTCTAGGTCTTTGGGCAATGCTGTTGTGGAAAGCGGGATCAAATTGGCAAAAATATTTTGTATGTCGTAGAAGTTTATTGACCAATGGATTTTTAGGAGGCCTGTGTACATATATATTATTTTGGACTTTCTTATATGGAATGGTACATGTGTACTAATATATATAATTTTGTATTCCAAATTATTTATGAAATATTTTATTACAATATTTAGTCAAAAAGTAATTTCTAGTAATTGAACATGTGAAATTGACAATTTTTGCAACATCTAATAACAATGCACTAATTTGAGAATTATATGCCAGTTTTATTAAACATGAATATACTATGCTATATATTACATGTACAAAATTGTGTTACAACAGATTCTTTATTGTGCATTATATAGCAAAGCCCAAATAGACATTTAATAGGCATTAAGTGACATTTTACTTCAAGGCAAGTGGCACGAACTTTCCAAAAAATGTGAATAATCAACTTAATTAATAATAATTAAGAATTAGCTATTTAGGTAAAATTTTCAACTTTTATTTGGAAAATAATATTAATGCTTTCACCAGAAACTATTCAATGTTATTTCCAATTGATATCTTTTACCAAAACTTATAACATCAGTATTATTATTTATAAATATATATATATATATATATATATATATATATATATCATTCATTGTCATTTTCAAATTTCCTTGCTCCCAGGGGCTCAAATGGTTCCAAATAGATAAAAAACAATTCTCTGAAAGTTTTAGCTCTTAATATTAATGTTTAGATAGAGCGCAATTCAATCAAAGTTTTGTATGGAAATAGCATGAAAAATTTTTCAAAAATTTTAAAAATGTTTTTTAGATGTTATTTAGCAAATAAATGAATGAATAAAACTCATTCATTTGTCGCTAAGTTATACCTAAAACATTTTTTTTTAATTTTCAAAATTTTTTCCATGCTCTTTCCATACGAAGTTTGATTGAATTGCGCTCTATCTAAATGTTAATATTAAGAGCTAAAACTTTCAGATAATTGTTTTTTATCAATTTGGAACCTTTTGAGCCCCTTTTATATATCATTCATTGTCATTTTCAAATTTCCTTGCTCCCAGGGGCTCAAATGGTACCAAATAGATAAAAAACAATTCTCTGAAAGTTTTAGCTCTTAATATTAATGTTTAGATAGAGCACAATTCAATCAAAGTTTTGTATGGAAATAGCATGAAAAATTTTTCAAAAATTTTAAAAATGTTTTTTATATGTTATTTAGCAAATAAATGAATGAATAAAACTCATTCATTTGTCGCTAAGTTATACCTAAAACATTTTTTTTTAATTTTCAAAATTTTTTCCATGCTCTTTCCATACGAAGTTTGATTGAATTGCGCTCTATCTAAATGTTAATATTAAGAGCTAAAACTTTCAGATAATTGTTTTTTATCAATTTGGAACCTTTTGAGCCCCTGGGAGCAAGAAAATTCGAAAATGACCATTTTAAGGACCACCCTAATATATATATATATATATATATATATATATATATTTATGTACACAGTAGAACCTCGATTAACCAGACTAATTGTTGTCAATGGGCATTCGGATTGTCGAAATCCGAATAATCAAATGTATGAAGAATAATGTTGTGTATTATCATTAATGTGTGTAATGTGAGGTTCTACTGTACATATATATATATATATATATATATATATATATATATATATATATATATATATATATATACATTTCGACACTGTTGTGTGTCATCATTCAGGAAATTTTTGATGTTTTTACAGTATCTAAAAGAATTTTTACAAAGTTTAAAAAAGATTAAATTTAAAATATATTATAAATTAAAAAATAAATAAAATAATAAGTAAACTAGTGGGGCGCATGGCATCGTGCCTTAAGGCAAATTGCTGGAACTTCCCGTACCAAAAATTATTATTTTTTTAAAAGATTAATATTTTTGAAAAAAAATTACTCTGAAAAATTAGATTTTTGAGAAACTATAAATTTTTGACAAAAATTTCCTTTTTCTTTTGAAAAAGAAAAGACTTTTTGAAGAAAAGTGTATTTTGAAATATTTTCGAAATTCTGAACTTTTTTTCAAAGCAATCGTACTGCTTTGACTGCATAGAGACGACATATCGTAGCGCGTAAGCGCCGCGCCGACGTCTAATGGATAGCATTGGTACGGAACCCATAGGAATGTAAATAAAATTTATACTTATTGTTAAAGTCTCTATAAAATATCTGATAATTTGATGTGCATATGTCTAATGATCATTTTTGACCGCCAGATGGCATTTTTTTTTTTTACTTTTTTTTACTAGATCTCCGAAATCGCTAGACCTGCCTTCATGAAAATTTGATCAGTTCTTCATCTTATTAATACAAGTAAAATGTTTTTTGAATTATTCAAATCGGACGCTCCGTTCTCTTAAAAACTGAGGTACCGTTTTTGGCACTTTTTGCCACATATCTTCGGGACGGCTAGACCTACCTCCGCTAAAAACTAATCTGCACGTCTCCTTATCAATACGAATCGAATGTATTTTGAATTATTCAAATCGCTTTATCCGTGTTTCCGAAATCGTCGACGAAAATTTGTATCCGAACACACATACACACGCAAGCCCACCCAGCCCACACGGTTCCGACGCCACTGTATTATATATATACTTTCTTTAATTTCATTTTTCATGAAGAGTCAATAAAGATGAGGTGCATATAGTTACTAGAGCCTATCGATTTTGACAAACTTCGAAATTTTATCTAATAATAAAATCTAGTCAAGGATGAAATATAATTTCATTATATTTGCGCATCTTAAAACGCATTTGAAAACTTTTCTTGAAATTACAAGATACTGAACATTATGCTTATTTATCTATGATACTGAAGTTAAAAACACTTTTCGTCATGGTTTGTTGTGTTGGTATATAGATTTATATTTACTATTTTATAATCATTAATTATTATGTTGGCGCAAACGTTAACTAAAATTGTTTAGCAATGGACTTGATTTCTAAAAAGTTCGGGGTAAGATTTGATTGGCTTGTGTAAATTTGAAGCGAAGAATTGTATAGATTTCATATACTACTAATAATACTTGTAAGAGAATTAAAGAAAGGGATTTTATTGTGGTAAGTAAATTTCTTTAGATGAAATCCTCTATAGGGTTATAGATAATTTTTAAGACTGCTCGTATGGCTATTGAGGTCAGTGAGATTGTTTTCATTATTATTATATAAATACATATATATAAATATATATATCATAACAGAAACGTTAATTATAGATAAAAAGCGCGATCAATCAAATTAATTATTGCATTTATTTTCATTTTGAGAAAATAGTAAGAATGATAATTTAGGCAGCATCCAGCTTCAATGAGTGTATGAAGACAAAGTGTTCTTTGAAAAGGTAGGTATAATTTCGTTTTTTCTTTGATTTCATGGTAATCAAACACATTTATTCAAAATGTATGCATTTTAGTAAATTTTTATAAAAAGATTGTTTATTACAGTTGGAAATATTAAACTTCATTGTAATCATTTACAGATTAACAACAATCAAATCACGGTTGAGTAAGGGGGCATCCATTAATCATGTGATGCTTGAGTTTCAAAAGGGGTGAAAAAAAATCAAAAATAATACACGTGTTGGAGGGGAGGGTAGTAAGATGGCACGTGTATTTATTTTTTATCTCAATTTAAAATAAATTTAATTTTTTTTTTTTAAATCTAAAATTATACGATTTTAAAAGTACTAAAAATACACGTAATATTGTGTGATGGGTAATTTTAAATATCACCATGTATCATAAATGGGGAGGAGTCTAAAAATCTTTAGAAATGACTCACGTAATTAATGGACGACCACTAATTTCAATATTTTTAAAATAGTGATTTACTAAAAGGGGCTTTTGTGGATTGTGGATTAGAATTAAGACGTTTTGTCCACGACAAATGTTGAAATTTGGCCAATCTCCTATGCTAAAGATACTAGTCTATTTGATTGCAACACGAAACGACGGTAGCGCCACTTTTTACAAAATGCATAATTTGTATTAACCGCCTATAGTTATTAGTTTTTGGTTTTGGTGTACGTGCTTGTGAAGATTCCATTGAAATTCATAATAAATGTTACAAATGTGCAAATAAATGGTAAGATTGTAATATTTTTCGAATATGTTTTGTTATATGCTTTGTTTTAGTAAAATAACAAATGTTTTATTATCAATGAGAATACTTAAATTGTTAATAGTGGAGTTTATGTGAAATATTATTAACCTTAATAACTAACTAATTCCTATCAAATTTAACAATAGAATTATTGCTTAAATTTACCTTGACTTGCCTTTTATTATGAATATTTTAGCTATCGTTTATGCAATTATTATTAAAAAGCATACTTTCGCATGAGTGTACGGAAACGTCATAAAAAATTTGTATAAATGAGTTTCTTGTAGATATTTTTCCTCTAAAGCTATAGCTGAAATAGAACTGGCTAAGTAATTCAACTCTCGTTTATAATTAATGTGTAATTTTTAATGTGTTTATTTATCATCTTCAGATGGAATCTTTTAATATCACAAATGTATGTGCATCTGATGCTATGAGCATAGAATCTCTTATGGGTTCAAATGGCTCTAAAACAAATGACGCAGAAGAATCTTCGAAGACACTTAGTGACAAACAATTAAAATTACAAAAGATGCTTAATTCTGATTTTAATCCAGTTTACCTCCAATTTGACAATACGACTTCCAAATCAAGAAGCAGGTTAACACTTATTTTATTCTTTCTGATATTCTAATTGTATGCTAAAATCATATATATATATATATATATATATACATATAATAAAAAATGTTATCTTTGTACAGTCACATTGAAGTATAAATTATATATATAAAGATTTACCACCTTATTTTATATTATTCAGTTTATTACAAAATTAAATTAAGAAGCATTATATTATGATTGTTATGTTGTACTTGTTATTTATATAATGTCAGTTTAAATTATTACTTATTTTATGAAAATAGGTATGGGAGAGCGCAGACAAGTCTCAATCAGAGCTCTGATACATCAATGGAAAAAGTGGAAATGAAATCAGATCCTATCAAATCTGCAGATGAATTTGAAATTGAACCTGTTAATGAGAATTTAAAGTCATTTGAAATTATGGACAAGCTATTTCATGAAAATAGAAAACATGCTCTTTTATCGAGATCTAAACTAATTACCAAGTATCGCGATATAGTTTTTAAAAATACAAGCTATTCTCCTATTTTGTTGGAGAATACAAGCTTCTACAATTATGAAAAGTCTCTTAATAAGACAATTCCTGACTTGACAAATAACGAAATGGATGACATAGAAAATAGAGAAATTACCACATTTAAAAAGAACAGAAGAAAGTCTTATTCTGCACCAACCCGAATTTCTTATGATAAGTTACACGAACCCCTAATGCATCGTGATAAAACAGATGGGTTGATGATATCAAATAACTTGACACCGTATAATATTTTTAAGGAGGAAATTATAGCCAATCAACTAGGTAGCAATATTTCAAATCCTCTGATCTCTTCTTTAATTGTAAATGAGCCTTTCTATTCTGTAGTTGATGATGAATGGTCTGAAGGTGACATTTGTTGGGGAAGAATCGGAAGTTATCCGTTCTGGCCTTGTTTAATTTGTGATGATCCTGCAACAGGCTCATTTTTAAAATTATCAGGTAACCTACACATATATGAATTTTATTAAATCATTACTGAATATTTAATACTCATTTAGAATGGTGTATATATGTATTTTCTTTAAACAAGAAAAATGTTTCAGAACCAAAAGGCGGGCGAAATGCTTCTCAATCTAAATACTATCATGTTCGGTTTTTTGCTGACAATGGGCGAAGAAGTGAATTGAAGGCGCACTGCTTATTTGCATTCACAAGTCTGGAAGATTTTAAAAAACAAGCAGATGCAATAACTCCAGAAGTAAATTTTTTATTTAAATTAACTGACCACAATTTTAAAAATGCATGTGATAATGTTTGTAAAATCTATATTTGTCATAGTGGATGTTTACAACAGTTGTATTGTCTTAAATTTTTTGGAATTGTAAAAGATATCTTACATCTTCTTTAGATCCTTACTTTTATATTGTGATTTGTTACTGCAGTTTATAAATAGTCAATAATTGGATACATTTTTCTGTCATGCTTTTGTGTGAATGATTTGTGGCAATAACTGATTAGAGCTCATAATTTCATCCCAGGAACAAGATGCACTTCATTTTTACATAATTCTAGTGTATATAATTACTTTCTTCTTTATTCTAGTTGCGACGTAAAAGTCCCAAACATTGCAGTGCCTTTATAGTTCCACCTTCGAGATATGTTAGCTGGAAGAATGCCATTGAGGAGGCCACTGTTGTAATGAAAAGGCCAAAAATATACAGGCTAGACTATTTTAACAGTACTTCTCTTGGTAAAATACCATATTCCAATAAGTCAAATACTATAAAAAGTCTTAAGACAAATCCAACTGGTAAAACCACTGTTGCACGAGGTGGAAATGGAAGCTCAGATGATTTTGACAAGTTGTTTGATAGTATCAAAAACAATAGTTCCTTAAATTCTAACACACTCAAAAAGAAGCATCCTGGAAAGAGAAAATCCTCAGAAATTCCAAAGAAAAGAAGAAAATTAATGAAAAAAGCAAATAACTCTGATGCAAAATCTAATCAGGAAATGAGTTGTGATGAATCAAGGAGTAGTGATAAAAGAACTAAGGTTCAGGATAATGTATCTGATAATGTATTAAGCTCATCGGTTAGTATTGATTCCAGTATTACTTTAAAGGAAGATGATTTGCTTAACACCAAAGAAGTATGTTTGACCAACTTTACGTCTCCAGAAAACACATTGAATAAAAATGACATGAAAAGTGGCCCTACTCTTGACTCCAGAGAATTTCCGGAACAAATTGAAATTTCAACAAGGTCCCAAATTGTTGAAGTTGGTTCTATGGATAATGACGTTATTGCAGACATGCAAGGCCCACAAACAACCAATACAGGAGATATACTAAGTCAAGATCAAGAAATATTACCCATTGTAGATGGATTACATGAAAAGTTTGATCAAGTTCAAACCCCAAGTTTTACATTCGATGTTTCAGAAAAAGTAGATCAGTCTAGCACTAATTCTGCTAAAACTTTGATATTGAATAAAAACAAACGGCTTTCAGGAAGTGATATTGGAACTCATGAATCCCCCAATAGTACGAGCACACCGAAGATAAGACGTACATCAGAGCGACATAAAAAATTGAATGATTCTAAATTGACACAAGAATTACTACAGAAAGCTGATAAAGAAAAATCTTCCTCAGATTATGACATGACCAATGGCATTATCAAACTTGATAACAAAAATAGATCTGTACAATTAGAATGTGACATTGCAGAAGCTCCAAAAGATAATGTAGCAGTTGCCCACAGTTCAAAATCAAAACTTGAAGATGGGTTGATTAAACCTTCCAACACAGGAGTAATAGACGAAAAGATTGACATAGGAGATAAACAATTAGTTCGCACAAACTCTAGAAAGAGTTCAAAAGAGGCATTGGACCTTACAATTGATAATAGAAATAGAACCTCTGGAAATTTTAGTGATTGCACATCTGAATGTGAAGTTAAAAAGATAAGTTCTAAGAAATATAAGACTGGTTTATTTCAAGGTTTGTGTCGGGAAAAAGTTTGCACGATTTGTGAAAAGCCGGGTGGATTATCAAAATGCAAAGGACCTTGCAGCAATTATTACCACTATCATTGCGCTTTTCCTGATGAATTACCCATTGAGGAAAAGACTACTGTTGACAAAGATTTGTTTGAAAAGCATGCCTCATCCCAAATGCAAGAAATGATGAACTCAACTATCAAGTCTGATATGTCTGAGTCTAGCTCAGATGATGACTCCGATGATGGTGAAGTAGGTTGTAAGATCAAACAAGTTGGCAAAATAAAATTTAGCTCAAGATTTACTGTCAATAGGGTTAGTGTATTCAAATGCCACAATTGCACACTGAAACGTAAACCAAAATGCTTTGTATGCAATAAGGAAAGCTATGGAAGTGAAAAAAAGACGGAACGCTTCAAATGTTGCATTAATCAGTGTGGAAATTTTTTTCATGATGAATGTTTAAAAGCTTTTCCACAAACAAAGATGTTTGGTGCATCATCTTCAAGAAAAGGTGCCAAGAAAGTATCTGATCGTTTTGAATGTGCACATCATGTTTGTCACACATGTGTATCAGATAATCCTAAAGGCAACAAATCTAGATTTTTGAGTGAGAAACTATCTAAGTGCGTCCGATGTCCAACTGCCTATCACACAGACATTAATTGCATACCAGCTGGTACTATATTGTTGACTTCGTCACAGATAATCTGTACAAAACATTTTGACATCAGCAAGAAATCTAGAGCAGGCTTAGTTCAGCATATAAATGTAATTTGGTGTTTCATTTGTGCTATTGGAGGAAGTCTTATTTGTTGTGAAATGTGTCCTACATCTTTTCATGTTGAGTGCTTAGGTATTCCTCAACCAGAAGGTAAATTAATTTTTCAAATTATTGATAAGACATAACTTCAATGCTTGCTGGCTTCATCTATTTCACAATACTTCTGTAATTGTTTGTTTTTACTTCAAATATTTTAAAGCCGCCAATATTTGGTTAAAACATTCTACAACCTTTGAAATTATATTATATGTGATGAAATGATTATTTTTATAGGTAAATACATATGTGAAGATTGTGAAGCTGGGCGCTTTCCCTTATATAATGAAATAGTGTGGTGCAAAATGGCCACATTTAGATGGTGGCCAGCCAGAATTTTACCGCCATATGAAATTCCACCAAAAGTATACAAAGTATCACATGAACCAGGCAATTTTTGTGTAAGGTGAGACCAATTTGTTTTAATTTTATTTTTTCAACTAAAATCTCAAAAATATCAATTGAAAAACATCATATGACTGTAAATGACTCTACTGAAGTATTTATCTATAATTGAAAAATGCAATTCTTTCTTCTTAAATTAAATTTGTTTTACATTCAGTTACTAATGAAACATTTTTATCTTGAAGGTTTTATGGTTCACTTGATCATCATTGGACGACAAGAGGAAAAGTCTTTCTATTTTGCGAAGGCGATACAGCTTATACCAAATCCACTAAAAATAACCTCGATGGAGTATTTGTTACAGCTGTTAAAGATGCTAATGTAGTGTATAATGAATTTAGAGGTAGGTATCAATTTAATATGCTGATTATTCTTTGTTATTTATGAAACAATACAAACTTTTAGTTAAATCATTATAACAATATTAAACGCAATTAAAAGATTCCAAAATCTGTAATAATTTGTGTATAATATTTGTGGGGAGATTGTTCATATCCCTTCCCTTTTAATATAATAATTTTATAAGTCATAGTAAAATTAATAACATAGTTTTTATTAGTGTATTTTCTAATAGAAAATTTATAAGTCATAGTAAAATTAATAATATAGTTTTTATTAGTGTATTTTCTAATAGAAAATTTCTATGCATATTTTTAGGTGCACGAGCATTACATGCGGCTAAACTTGAAGGCGATCTCAAACCTCCCTACTACATTAAGATTAAATCAAACAGATTTGCAGGTAATGCTAAATCTCAAGAAGTGGATCAGTCACTCACAACTCCCTGCGAATGTGATCCTAATTCGCTAAACCCATGTGGACCAAATAGTTTGTGCTTGAACCGGTAAATACAACAATAATATATAATTAATAATTATATATAACACATCACTCAATAAGTACATATAATTTGTAGTTGAAATGCACACTTTAGTATAAATTTCAGTATAACATATATTGCACAATAAAGAAAAAGAAAGGAAATTCTAAAGAACATTGTTTGCATTGGATTAAATGCCATATGTTCCTCGGGCAATGTAGTTCTGTAATTTATTCATTCATTCTTTATTTCAGTATGCTTCTTTATGAATGTAATCCATCAGTTTGCCCAGCTAGAGAGAAGTGTTGTAACCAAGATTTTGAAAAAAGGGAATACCCACCATTGACGCCTTTTGTAACTAAGGGTAAAGGATGGGGCCTCAAAACATTGAAAGCATTGAAACCAGGTTAGTTTGTATGATTAGATGCATTATATTCCTCTTTAAAAGATTTTCTTATTGCTTACACATATCTTATTTGTAGATAATTAACGAACAAAATTCTTTAACTCAGACCTCATTAACCTAAATATATGAATACATTTTGTTTTGTATGTGTTAGTTTATATGTAGAAGAAAATGGTGTTCATAATATCTTTCATATATAAAAGATAATATCGAATTCAAACAAATATTTTGATGAGGAAAATTTTCATGTCATATCACATCTAATTATCTTACTAAGGATGATTTTGTTTTTTAGGTCAATTCATTATAGAATATGTTGGCGACGTTATAGATAATATAGAATTTAATCGAAGATTAGAAATTAAACATAAGGCACGGGATGAAAACTTTTATTTCTTAGTGCTAGATAAAGATAGAATTATAGATGCTGGGCCAAAAGGAAATGTTTCTCGATTTATGAATCATTCGTGCGATCCTAATTGTGAAACACAGAAATGGACTGTTAACGGTGATACAAGAGTTGGACTCTTTGCCATTAAAGACATAGAAGCAGTAAGTATTATATTTAAAATTCAGACAATGTTATATTGAATATGTTTGTTTATATATATAATACCAACAAAAGCATTGTTATTAGTTTTTATAATTATCAATTATGTAGTTAACCCTTTCCACTCGGGCATTACAAAATTGATATGCTTTTTGTCCCCGAAACGGCGGTATTCGAGTGGAAAGGGTTAATTAAATAGGCCATCTTGTATATATTTGTATACAAATTTGTATATTGTGAAAATTGCAGGATACAGAGCTGACCTTCAATTATAACTTAGAGTCCACTGGTGGTGATAAGAAAAAGTGCTATTGTGGAGCAGCTAAATGCGCTGGTTTCATTGGGGCCAAAAAAAATTCAAAAAATAACAAGAAAAAGTCATAATTGAAATTTTTATAATTACTTATCCCACCCATGTGTTCAATCAGCACAATTAATGATTTTTAAATGTAAATTATGAAATGAAAATCATCGCAAATTAATTTTTAATAAATATTTTATATGAGTTTTAAAAGTCTAATTTTTATTACCAGAGCCAACACTATAGGTTACCAAGCTTTTTTTTACTCTAATTTATTACTCAAGTGCACTCACACATGGGTGTCATCTACCCGTGAAATCAAAATTATTTTCACTTTTGATCTTGAGAGTAAGATGAAACTAATTTCAAAATTTCATATGAATTGGAGCAGAGTAAAAAAATTCAGATCCAAAATGCTCCATTGACTTGAATAAATATTCTGTATTCAATGCTAAACATATGAATTTTTGACACAATGATACTTCTAAATAATTTTTTGAATAAGTATTATTTTTTTAACTTCCCGTAGGGTAGTTATAGTAATGGGCCGAAAATCGAAAATGAAAATTTTTGC